GCAACCGCTATTAGAAGTAAATATAAACATATAAATATATATAAATATGTAAAGATATAAACATATATCTTTAATATTTTGTAAATGAAAATATAATTTATATATATTTTTAAATCTTTTTCTTATATTTATTTTTAAAAATATAATATTTTTTTTAAAATTTAATATTTTTTTCAAATATATAAATATATAAAGATATAAATAAATATATAAATATATAAATATATAAAGATATAAATATATAAATATATAAAAATATAAATATATAAAAATATAAATATATTAATATATAAATATATCAATATATAAATATATAAATATATAAATATATATATATATATATATATATATATATATATACAAATATATCAATATATCAATATTATCCCCTAATATATTAATATACATTATTAGCATAATTTTAATTTAATTAAAAATTAGAATACAAATATACTATACTATACTAATATACCATTATATTATTTTCATTGTATATAAATTACAAAATTAATAATTTGTATACTATATTATACTATACTAATATATTATTTGTATAATATACTAATAGTATAATATACTATATTATAATATTATTTGTATAGAAAACTAATATCTTTATATATAAATATGAAAACATATAAATATATGTAAAAATATGAAGATATAAATATATAAAAATATAAATATATGTAAAAATATAAAGATATAAATATATCAATATATAAATATATCAATATTTAAATATATATTAAAATATATAAATATATTTTTATTTATAGATTTTATATTTATATATTTATACGGATATACATTTATTTGTATATAAATATAATTTATTTGTAAGTTATTATTAAAAGATCTTAAGTAGCTCGGTGGTTGGAGTTTCGACCTCAAACTCTAAGGTACCGGGTTCGAATCCCGACAATGACAATAAACCACCTAATAATAAGTTAAACTTCTAAAAAATATAATATAATTAAGAGATAGGGAAAATAAATAATAGATATAATAAAAATGTAAATAAATAAAAATAATTAAATTTGTTATTCTTTTTCATTGATTTAGTGACTGAATCAGTGACCGATTTGATTATATATATTCGGTCACTGAATCGGTCACTAAAATCAGTGACCAAGGAAATAGTGACCGATTCCAGTTGGTTACTATTTCGGTCACTATTTTAATTAGTAACCGATTTTGCACATTTAGTGACCGAATTTTCGGTCACTATTTGGTGTTTTTCTTGTAGTGATCTTTGGTACGACAATTGGTCATGAATCAATACATGTTTCGATAACAACAATATTTATGTGAGATATGTATTTCCATATATCATCCCATTAATTTATGTCCTCATCTTCAAGAGACACCAAACTTTATTAGGGAAATACTTGGCGATATATTTCTTGAACAACAACATTACATACAATTAAATTTATACAGGCCACTACAACAGGAGGACAACCTGTACTCGACCACATATAATCTTGGCTGGAGAGACCATCTAAACTTGAAATGTGGTCCTGTCTTTAATCAACCACCAAAGATTCCTTTCCAGCCAAGTAACCAAGGCCAATACCAACAACAGGAGTATTCCCCTAATGAGACAATAGGCGAATCAATACTATATGTCAATACAACAAAGCTCAACTGGTACAACAACAGGAATAAGATAACTTTTGATTAGCCCTGGAAGAACAAATGAAACAATTCACATAATAGATGAGAATGCAAAAGGCACAACTCGAGCATTGCATGATAATCACCCTTAATGACATCCAAACCCAAATTAGATAATTGTCACTACCATTAACACATTACAACAACAAGGTTTGAATGCACTTACCTCACAAATAGTTATCAATCCTAATGATAATGTAAGTGGAATCACCCTGAGAAGTGGTCGAAAAATTCAAATAGAATAGAAGAACCTTGACACATCTTTACTTAATGAAGGAGAATTATTCTTAATGAATATTTGTTTAGTTGAAGGCTGAGAGAATGAAGAGTTAGATCTAAGAGTTGATTCTGACCTTGATAAACCCTTAAAATAATTTAATTTAAGTCAAGAGGAGTTTCCTGAATGTGATTGTACGGATGGAAGTTATATTATTTATAAAGAGACAACTGCTGAAGTAAGTTCAGCAAGTACACCATAGCAACACCCAACCATAACATGTGAGACTTTTGATGTGCGAAGAATTGACTCCATGGGGTCACTTTCGAAACCCATTTGAATGCACCTATATTATCTTGGAGGTGGATTATATGTCAAGATGGTTGTTAGCCAAAGCAACTAAGTCCAATGACTCAAGAGAGGTTCTAGAGTTCTTCATAATCAACTATGTGAATCAGGCCCTACTACTAGCTAGGCCGAGTTGCTACTTGATAACCTCAACATCTATATCATCCGCGGAGATGGATCCAGGACCCGAGCTATGTTAGCTTGCTTACATTTGCATTTACATAACATAAATTTTTTACATTGAGGGCAATATTAACCTAAAAGGAGGGAAGTATTTCTATTTCATACATGATATTTCATTCTTATTTTTTGTTTTAACTATTTGTGTAATGTTGTAGATTGATGGGAGACTACTTTGGAAAAGATGATCGACTTGATCAGAAGGAAGAATTCAAAGTTTGAAAGGTTTGATTCACATAAAAAGTCATGCCCGAGTTATATTAACATTAGTTTGGATTAATTTCAGGGTGAACAAAGCACTCAGGTGAGCTTTGAGCCTTATTCTTTCTTGTTTGTGCCACTCATGATATGAGAACCTTTCAAAACTTGATTGATTTCTCTGTGACACCAGAAGAACACATACACCAGTAGAAATTATTTGAGCCTTATTTTTCTTAGCCACTTAGTCAAATAGTCTACCCTTACCTCAACTACTCTTTGAGCCTTAGCCTTTTATTGGATTTAAACTCAAGTGTTAAAGTCTTTCTAACCCAAAAACTATCCACACATGAACTTAAAGGAAAGTAAGGAACATGAAATCATCACAAAAATCTAGTTCTACTCACTGCCAACAATTCGAAAAAAAGGAGAAGTATTAAAGTATAAAAAAAAAAAGCCAAAAAAAATCAATTTTCTTTTGTGAGTTAAAGCAATAAAAGAATTCGAAAGATACTTTAACACAAAAGTGGTAACGATTTTCAAAGATGCAACTAAAACAAAGCTACAAGATACGTTGATCAATGTTCTTTATTTTTCCTAAAGTCTTAACTCACTAACCTACATAAACCTACCCTTAACCCTAGTCTCATTACAAGTCAAGAAAAAGTCCTATTGATTTGTTGTGGTATATGTTCTAATAGGTGAGAATTTAGAGATATTTTAAGTCTATGGTAAAGGAGGATGTCATGATGTGATAATGAGTGAAATTTTCAGCCTAAATAGAGAGTAGAATAAATACTTGATGACAAGATGATGTTCCCTTGTATTGATTCATACTCAACCACAATGATACTTTGTAAATTATGATCTTGATCTTTTTTATTCTTTCACTTTTGATTGATGAAGTTTTTCCTAACCATTTTAGTTTTCAGGATACCACTAACGTTTGCAATAGTACCCATCTTTACATTACATGCATGCAATTTTTTTTTCTTTTATCTTTTACTTAGAAGTGCAAAAGAGAAAAAAATGTGAAGTATTTGATGTATGTCATTTTACTTTTTATTTCTTGATCTAAAAGCATTTTCTAAGCTAATTATTTTCTTCATAAATCATGCATTTAACATGTTTTCATTAAAACCATATCATAATTCAATTTTTCTTAATTTATTGCATTTTACATAGTTTTAGCATAAAAAAAACACATTCATAGATTTATAGTGCATATTACTTTTTTTTTAGAAGAAATGTAATTTGAGATGTGTCAAATTGATGAAAATAAATATCCAAATTGATGGAGTCGAGTTTCACTCTTTTTGGGAAGTCTAAGTTTGCTTGTGCAACCTACTTATGGAACGTTACAAATGAAAATTCCAAATGAAGTAAGTTAATTGTTGTGGGAATCTAATTTAGCTTAATGAAAAGTCAACAGAAATCAAGAATTAAATGCAAATCAACGCTAGGTAACTCAAAATAGGAAAGAAGTAGATTATTTTCTTCAAATCAGTCCTAAGAATTTCCCACCTTGTAATCATATAGTGCTTGCAATTTTTAATTTAGGAAACATTTAATTTTATTATAATTAATTTCAAGTTTATTTTTTCTTTGTTAGTCCCTTATAAATAAATGTCTAATGAAAACACAATCACAATCTTGAGAACGAGCTGTTGTTTTGTGTCATCCCGTTTTCTTTTCTATTTTCAGTTTTTGGTTAGGTAAGCTCATTACTACTACTACTACTACTTGCACTTTTGGTATTCTCTTTTATTTAATTTATATTAAAATTTTCCATTTATATTATTCAATTTACTATATTCATTTAATACTCATTTTAGTTTATATTATTTAATTTTTTAGAATTTTTATTTGATTGTAATACTTGCTTAATTTTCATTTTCAATCCATCTATTTTCCGATTCCAATTACAATTTTCAACTTAATTTTAGAGTTATCATTTTCAAAAATTCTAATTTTAATTATTTCATTTTTTATTTTAAAATAATTTTTATTTTACACTTTATGCTAATAATTTTCAAAATTAATTAAAAATACTTTATTTTAATTTTATAAATTTTATTTATTTAAATTATTATTCAATTTAATTTTAATTATCATTATTATTTTACTATAATTTAAATTTATTTTTTATTATTTTGTATCAATTTTTTTTTCCTTTTTCCATCTTTGGCCTCAATTTACCGTTATTTACTATTTTAAGATAAATAATATATGGAAATGGTTACTATAAGTATATAACTTCTTATTAATTTTGTGTGACTATTTTACATACCCTCCCCTATCCTCCAACAACACCCAACACCCCCACCTACTCCTCCCCAAACTCGTCACTCCCCGCGTTCCCCAAAAATGCAGCAAGTCACCCAAGCCGTTTGCGAGCCACCGCCACATTCGACGACGACTCTCTCGGCGCCCGCGCAAACTCCGGTGGCTTCCACTGTAGCATCTTCCACTCTGAGTATTTGTCGGGTGCATGGGGTATGCCTGCACCCTCACCCCAGGGATGAACTCCCTCTGCATCATGCCGAAGCAGCACATCAGCGACGAATCCTAGTAGGGGAAGCTAATGTCGTCATCATAGTCAGACAACTCGTCGTCCTCTGAAGTTGTTCCTTTTTCACCTCTATATATTGAGGCTTTGCTATGTCATTTGCGGGTGGTTTTTAGGATGGTGGGGACTTCTTCCGTGGCGTCGTTTTGGGTAGGGGACTCCACGGTGGAGTGTGCCATTTTGAGTGGGCGTGTTGTTTTGAAAACTAAGCATTTGGGTGGGGTTGGATAATGAGGGGAGAAGGAGTTGGACGAAGAAGAGTGAACGACCAAGAGTCACAACGCATTTTACGTTAAGATTATGAGTCCAAACATGTTTGCTTTAATTTTGAAAATGCTATTCTTTTTTTATGTCGGATAGTTATTAATCCGAAAAATAAAAATTCAGATTTTGCATTATTGATATTAACTTTTTTTTTTGTATTTTTTATTTTACCCACAAAAAGTTTATGTTTTCAAATAAATGGTCATATACTAGAAAGTACTTGACAAGTTTATAACAACAAAAAACACCTAGTTATAGTAGTGTGTGTTATTCTTTAATGCTTTGAAAATATATAGAAATAATGTTATGCGGAAAATTATCAACCTGAAGCCCTATATTTGGTAAAAGATCGCATATAATCCTTTGTGGATTACACGAATCGTTACACTTTGATGATGCTTTTCTACTATAACAAAACAAATTTTCATATTGAAAAATTCTTTCCTAAGTTGTAAAAGAAGATTACTTTGGATGAGAAAGAAATCCAAAATTCTCAAAGATTCTAACAGGTGCATATACTTTTGAAAATAGCTTATACTTTCCACAGAATGGATTGAAAGCATCTGATTCTGACCAGTTCTTCCCAACCCAATCAAATTCAGTTTTGGAATCACTTTACCTCCTTTCTCAGTGGGCTAATCACTATCTATGAAGGACCCCTTTGCCACTACCTTATTTGTATTAATCACTTTATTTGTCATCGATACAGATATTAATTTTTGCACCATTAATAATTAAATACTAACTAGACATAACTATTACACAGTTCATTTAATACTCAAACACAAACCACACATGTACTATTTCACTCATGTTCTACAATCCTAATTATGCATAGTAGGCGTTGAACAATATCCCTCATGTTAGGCCTTTCACCTTTCTTCTCTCTTAGACATTCAAGAGCAAGATCCAAGAAGAGTTTTATGCTCGTGAACATTTTATCCCCCAAGGTCTCCACGGAAAGAAGCCTTTGATCCACCAATTCCATGATTGTACCATTGCTCGTATGTTGATTCACATGAATTGCTAGGTTGACATCATCTTCATCACGATTGAAGTCAATCGCTTTCTGTGAAGTCAAAAGCTCTAGCAACACAACCCCATAACTATAAACATCGCTTTTATCTGTTAACTGGTAGTTGCGGTAATATTCAGGATCCAAGTACCCCAACGTTCCCTGAGCACATGTTGACACGTGACTGAGTCCCGGGCTAGCCAATCTGGAGAGTCCAAAATCTGAGACCTTGGCATTGAAATCATCATCCAACAGTATGTTTGTTGACTTAACATCTCTATGGTAAATGGGCGTGTGTGCAGCAGAATGCAAGTAAGCTAATGCTTCTGCAGTTTGAAAAGCAACCTTGAGCCTTGTTTTCCAGTCAAGAAAGTTGGCACAATATCTACCATGAAGATGGTCATAGAGGGTCCCATTTGAGATATACTCATATATCATCAATGGTAGCTCAGATTCCACGCAGCATCCCAAGAGCCTGACCAAGTTCTTATGATTGACTTGAGAAAGTATTGCAACCTCATTAAGCACTTGTTGGGTGCTTTTCAGGTTTCCCACTCTAGCTTTCTTCACAGCAACTAATGTTCCATCTTGTAACTCACCTTTGAAAACTTCCCCAAAGCCACCACTCCCCAAGAACTTCTCTTGGGAAAAACCATTTGTTGCTTTCTTCACCTCTTTCAGTTGAAACATCCTACAAGGCTTCTCCCCAGCACTTGATTTCAGCTTGTCTTCTCTTTCCTTGGCCTGATTCTCTCGATGGGTAGAGATTTTGCAGGACTTTGTGATGATGGTCAGAACTAGAACAAGAGAGAAAAAAGTAACAACAACCCCTATTGACACCACCAAGCTGGTTTTCCATTTGGGTTTTCTCTCATACCTCACGCAGGTTGCAACAAAAGAGTTCCAACTGTGTCCCCCATTACAAAGACAGCGAAATAGGCCATTTCTACCAGAAGGGGAACACGTCGAGTCTCCAGAGCAGTCCCTTTGTGTCTTGCAAACTGGTTCAGGTGGAGGAGCCCATTGAATTTCAAGCCCTTCCTCCCACTGATTCGGAGGCTTGTCTTGATTCAAATGAAGGATGCTTCTGAATGCTTTGCAGCCAGAATCATGAAGCCTGATCCTGTAAGCTGAAGGTATACCACCAGCTAGAAAAGTGCAACAAGGGTGAACACCACTTGCACACTCAAGTGCTCGTTTTGTGTCAACATGACCTGAACTCCCCAAGTAACGATGGCAAACACTAGAAGAAGTGCAGTTGAGAGGAGAAACTAAGAGGCGCGGGGAGCAATTAAGGAGGAACACTGTGTTGGAGGAAGTTATGTTGAAAGGGAGTGACTGGTTCAACCATATACCATTGCTTCTTACCATGTCTTGAGTAACACACAAACCTGGTAACCAAGGTGATGGATCTACCACCATGCGCTGGATTGAAGACATGATTCGGAGAACGAGATAGGAACTTCCATTGAGGGTGTCGAAGTAGAGCCTGTCTGAGTGGGAATCACAACGAAGCTTGTAGAATGGATCACCACAACTTGGATGTGTGCTCAAAGGGTATGGAACTTGCACAGAGCCACAGTTTGGACAAGTCTTCTGAGAAGAAGTAGTGTGATGGGTGAGGAGAAGGAAAAGAAGAAAGGCATAGGCATAGCAAAAACGGAAGCCGGGTCTCATGTTTGATTCAGCAATCATTTTGCGTGGAGAATTAGTGGAAGAAACATCTTATGAACTGAAATATACTACGATGAATAAATATTAAGGGTACACCTGGTTCCTGCTGTGGAATAAAGTGACTGCAAGAATCTACCCTCTGGAATACTATTCTGGGCCAACCTAGCTTAGGTTTAGCTTATTGGAGTTTACTTATTATAAATAAAACATTATTTTAATATAAATACCATGTATTTATTATTTTAAATATGGATTTCATTAAATTTTAAATCCACTTGCTCTAAAATACTTAAACTATAATATGCATACTACTTTTATAGTTTATTTAATTATGTATTATCTAAAATTTATTATGAACCATAATAGTTTTAATAATTTTTCTAAGTAATTAATAACACATCTAATTAAGATAGTCAAACTCTTGATTTAATAATATAACCTTTTTAAATTTATATAATTTCAAGAGACAATAATTAGTAATAATAAGAAGAATGAAAATATTTTCTCCTTTCATATTCTTTCAACTCCTTCAAATAATTAGTCAAAATCCGCCATTTATTAGCAAACTTGAAATTAAATATATATTTTTTTCATTCTTGCTCTACATAATGATAATATTTTACTGTAACTCAATGATTTTAAGAAATTAAGCTTCTTTTTGAAATGTTTTCACTTTATTCTAGCACAAAATGTACCCTATAATATTGCTGTAATTTGCTAGTTTGTTTTATTATAAGATTAACATTAGTAACTCATGACTTGACTTAGTGTGGGAGTTTTCATGGATGACATCTCCATCATCCAATAGACACAAGCATGAGTTTATAGGGTGGTGTATACAGAATCCTGTATTTTGGGTCAGCAAGGAACAAATGCCATAAAAATGGTGGTGATCAATGGGACCAGTGTCGATACCACATGTATGGTATCAAACTTTTGTATGGTTTTGGCATGTACTCAATTTTTCGGTGTTTTTGTTTCTTCAGCACATTCATATGATATCATAGTGGAGAAATTACTGCAATTTAAATATATAAAAATCCAAGACCATTATAGTTCTTGCTCTTTCACTAGTTATATTCTCCCTTGTATTATTCTGACACGTGGACATACGCAACCACATTATTAAACCATTCATTAATATGACCAAGTGAAATTGAAGTTCAAGTTCAAATTAACAATTATGCATCAGAATGTTTTAAAGGGTGGAATTCATGTATAATTCATTAGTATTTTTTTAATGAATTATTGGTCTTCTCTGGAAAACGTAAAATTCCGAATGGGTCCCCAGAGTCCAGTTAATCCATATTCTCTTTAGCATTTTGTTTCCCAATTATAATATTCCTCTTTTATGGTTACTTATGAATGCAGAATTTCTAAAAAAAAAAGAGACTTCGCATAACAAAAAATCAAGAAAAAAGACATGTTAAAAGATTCATATGTGCAAATTAAAACGGACACATATATAACACATTTTATGTTTTTTTTTTTAACTTAAAGTATTAAGTAAGAAAATAAATACATGCATAATAATATTAGAAAGTAGAAAGTAAGAAGCATGGTTGAATTATAATTTGTAAATTAGTTTTTGTACGTATCAGTTCTTCGTACCAAATAAATTATTGTTATATTAATTCTCCTACTGCTTTGGAAAAAAATTATTAAATGGAAATCATTTAGAAACTTAAAATATTTCTTAATTATTTTATTCATTTATGAAAATTAGGGTAAGTAGAAAAGTACTATATGTTCTAGAAAAATACTATTCTTCGTGCATTTGTTAACGATGGCGCATATTTTTATACTGATAAAAAAATGTTTTTGCAAATGGGATCAACTATCATTGTTGTTGTTTTTAACAATTATTGTATTAAGTTATAGTTTAGTTAATTTTAAATTGTATTAAAATAACACTAAAATCAGTAGGGAAAATAACAAGAGTCGAATGTGAATTGTATTTTAAGAAATGTAAATCATTTCAATAAATTTTCGTATTTTGAAGGATTTTTAAAGTAGAAGATATATCTGCAAAAAAAAAAATTGAAGATATACTATTTATTCCCATAAACAATTAAAATAACAGTATCAAGTTAACTATTAAGCATGGTAAAAAAAAAATCGCAATGACTCGTAATTAACTTTTTACAAGTTACCACTATTTTATTTTAACCATGGCATCATTAAAAGAGAAATAAGGTTAGAATATAATGAAATATAAGGATTATGCTTAATATATTTTCATATATGAGAGAAAAGAAATGAGGTAATTTTTTAAAATATATTAAAAAATGTTTTTTTAATGGGAAAGTGCTAAAAATATATTTAATGTAATTATTTATTATTTTATTTAAAAATATTTTAGAAGCAGAAATTATATGATACAATAACAATTCCCTCCCAGTACCAGTTAGGAGGGATTTTTTTACGTGTTAGAATCATTTAAAAATATATTATTATTTTCTTTTCTAAGAAATAATGAAAATGTCACGTATAATATACATGTGGTGTCATGCCAATATTGATTTTCATAAATTTTGTAACCTAGATTATCTATCTTGAAAAACTATTTCAAGAGTTAAACCCTAAACCAAAACCAATAAAAAATATAGAAGGATAAAAAATTAATTTATTAATATTTGACAAAAATCTTTACAGTAGTGAAGGTTTTCTAAATAAATTCTTAAATGAAGTTACTTTTGAGTTTACTGTTGATACACTGAAATAATTGTAGCATGTGATTTAGTTATAAATAACAGTTAACATAATTTTCAATCTAAAAGCTTCTGTTTGATCATTTTTTCTACTTGTCAATTTTCTCTTCGCTTCGCCTATTGGGCTGTCTTAGTTACTATGAAACCAGTAAATGAGCTTATCTTAACGGGCTTTAGTTTATGCAAGCACCAAGAAGTTGCACACCTAATCAGTAAATATTTTTTGAAAAATTTATAAAATATATTTTTGTAAAATACAATAAAAAAAATGAGTTTTGGATTGTATTTTTTGAAACTCATTTTTAAATTTGAAAATATATTTTGAATTTAACATCCTATACATTTTCAAAATATATAATCTAAAAATACATTCTGAATAAACTTATCTAGAACTTATTTTTGGATTATATTTTTAAAAAATGTTTATGGATTTAACAATCCAAAATATCACAAATACAAATTAAATGTTTTTATGTCATTTTTGGATTTTAAAATATCATAAATGCAAATCAATTTTTTTTATATATTTTTATGCACAATATATTATACGATTCAAAATATAAATCACTGATAAGTTTTTAATCTTTAAGTGAAAATAATGTTTAAATAAAGGTGGACGAAGTGTAATAGAAATATAAATCCTAGTATATAAAGATGGTATAAAGGTGTAATGTGGAAGAGGAAAATTATGCTAAAGACATTTTTTATATCTTACATGTATTATGGGAATGCAGAAGAAATGATTGAGATATAGATGAATATTGAAATAAATTATAACATATTTACATTACATTGCATTATTAATATTGTTTTTTTCAAACCATATTAATGTTGTGTAAATTAGATTGAACTCTGATCTCATAGCTAGTGTTGCAACAAATGTGACTCAAGAAGCACTAGAGCATGATTTCCTTCTAGGAACTACATGTTCATCTGTTCCTTTGGAAACAGAGTGCCTGACTCTAGCCTTTTCACAGCCTTCCACCCATCTCTTCAGCCTCTCAAGAAACTTTCTCCTTTTTGAACAAGCACTGTCACTGTGGTCATGGCCACCAGGATGCTCATCAAATGAAGGATCGCTATAAAGGGAATTCTGTAGTTCATGCTCTGAGTCATAATGGATAACTACATCATTTCTTCCAAATTCCAATTCTACATGCCTTTTATCTTGATCCGCTTGTTGTTCATGGGGCCTCATTAGATCATGCCTTAAACAAGCGTTGGTCCACCGCAAGTAAATCAGTTCTTTAGCTTCATCTGCTCGTTCCTTCTTCATCTGCTCCAATTCATCCACAAGCTGTTTGTAGTCTTCCCTACTTACATCTCCAGCTTCAATCTGCAACTGGAAAACCTTCTGTTGCAATGATTTGGATCCCAATAAACTCTCCCTCCAAATAAATAATTTAATTGAAATACACCAGCATTAAAAAAGTAATCTTTTATGCTATATAGGTAAGAAATATTAATTTTTAAAGTCATATCTAATTGGTTGAGATCACACTTCGAATCAAATTAAACACCCAACCCCTTTTATGCTAATATATATGATTTGAATAACAGCATAAACCTTACAATAAAAGTATATCAAAATTAAATTATAGATACCCACCACTACTGTTATTTTTATTGTTGATCTGAGAAACCTTTAGATTTCAACCAGTAAATGATTGGTTTTAACATTGCTTGCTTACCTTTGAAGCATAGGATTTTTCTGCTGTGTCAAGCTTCCTAAGAAGTTCATTCTTCTCATCCTGCAATTGATCCAAAGCCCTCTGCAGCTCTTCCATTTTAGCCTCTAGTTTACCTATGACATCAACTTTTGTTTCCAAGGCATCACGGCTTCTCAATATTTCTTCTTCATCCAATTTGTTCTTCAACGCTTGCTCCTTGCAGACGCGGGTTTGTGCCTTTGATTTCCTCATTAGCTTCTGAAATTTTCTCCGAAGTATTCTATTCTCAGATTTCCAACGCTCTGTCTGTTCCACAACTCTAAGATACTGAGCAGCAAAACCCTCCAACCTCCTTCTCTGTGTCTCCATCGATGAAATCTCCCTATCCAAGAAGTCAACACGAGCAGTCTCAAGAAACAACATGTTTTTTATCTCCCCAACCACGGTTTCTTGCTCTTTTAAACCACAATAACGTTCAAACTGCAAACGGAAGCCCAACTCTTTCATTTGCATACCCTCAATCCTGCTTCTTAAGCCATTAATCTCTTCTTCTAAACATGGGGTGTCATGAATCACGGAACTTTCAGCAACAACACTGTCATCCATAGTTGTACTATTTCCGTCATCTTCCATACTAGAGAGGCTATGACTATGACAACTTTCTTCATATGAAAGCTCGTGGTGGGAATTGGTTTCATCGGAACTTGATTCCTTTGGTGATGAAGAAGAGATTTTAGAGAGGCTTTTCTTTGCCACAAACCAAGCATAGACTAAACCAGCAAAAGACACAGCCAAAGGAACACCAGCTTTGATGATCACTGGCTTTAGGATCTCATGCTTTGATGTCGTGTTTTCCATCCCGAAGAATAAAGACAAGTATAATTTCAGCAATTTGGTTAGACTTTTATTTTGAACAAAACCCAATGGAAGACACCAAATATCTTAATTTGATTTTTGCTGTGTGTTGGGTTAGCAAAGGTTTGAAAGACAGTTTGCATAGTATTTGTATTTGTGTGAATGACATTGCTTTTAGAGGAAGAAGCACAATGATATAGCTTTTGACTTCCCCAAGAGGCCTTCTACGCCACCAAATGCTGCCAACTAGCCTTGTTCGTGCTCTTTGGAATCTTATTCCTTTCTGGATTAATAAAAATTTTGGCTTCTTTTCTTCTGTGGTAAACCATATGTGTGATGTTATAGTTTTCACACGTCCAAAGCTTGAACATATGCAGGGGTATCCGTTGGGAATTACCAAAATGGAGAAGTGCACTTCACAATATTCATCCAAGGTCAATGATCAGTTGCCAGGAAAAGATTATTCGTTCATGACAGTTGTGCGATTTTATATATTAAGGTTTGAATTTAAAGAGTTTGTATAAATTATTTAGATTTCATATTATGTCAACTGTAATAATTACGATCATTGTTTGGGCTTAGGATTTATGTCTGACGATGAAAGACCTGTATAGTGTGAATTACGTAACAATATAAATATAAAGTTTAAATATATTTCTTATTGTTTAATTTGATACAATTATTTTAGAAAAAAATTACGAAAATTAGAACTTGTTTGATTTGGTTTAGTTTTTTTTTAAGAGATAATTTAAAAAAAATTATTTTTATAAATAAAGTACAAAATAAATTTATAAATAAAAATTATTTTAGAAAAATTACATTAATAATAATGAAAAGTAAAAAAAAATGATAACTTCACGTTTTAAATGTGGGTGATATATTATAATTATTAGTAAAAGTGTGAATATCATGAATAAAAATAGAAAATTAAAAAAATTAAACTGATTTTAGAATTAGTAAACAAATACATTTTTAATCTTCCAAAAATTCATAATTATTTGTTTTAGTTCTCCAAAAATATTTCAAAAAGTATCAGTCCGCCAAAAAAAATTATCCTTAGTTACCAAACCAAATTGATTTCTCAGACAAAATAAAATGCATGACCCCTTCACAAACCTAATCTAAGCAACTAACAATATGTACTCCGTTTTTTTTTTCAAAATTGGAGATTTTTAATAAGAGTTTATCAAAGTAATTAAATAATTATGTGTCTAATTATACATGTCTTAATTTATATTAATCATAAAAGACAGTTAGTAATGTATCTTCCATTTATCACGCAACACACCATTAATCTAATTTTACAGTAATTAATTTTATTTTTACTATTATTATTTCCATAGATATAGAAAATTTTTAAAGAGAATATCAAAACTTTGATCTATACTACTGTACTCAAAATTTTGATATGTAATCGACTTTAAAAATTTTATAATTTTTCAGAAGAAAAGAATTAAAAATTTTATAACATTATTTTCAATAAAAATATAAAAAATATATGATATTTTAATCATTTACATAATATACTTAAATTTTAAAATATATAATATATACTTACTAAGATTAAATATTTGGAAACTCAATTATAAGAAAAAATAGTGCGACGTGGGGAAAACATAGTTAAAACACTAGATAATCATGTAAGTAAGTAAATAAAAATTTCACTATTACAAAATCTATAAATATGGGAAATTACTTTTAACTTTCACCGTGTATCTCTCTATTCCTTCTATTTACTTTCAAATTCTCTCTTCTTTCTTTTACTAAAACTCCCACCCTCTCTTTTGTTACATGAGACTTGTTTTTTCCTATATTACCAAAACTTCCCTCCCATCCTTCTTTTACATCACTTGTAATTGTTTTAGGGAAGGGGAGGAAGGAACGATCATTCTTTTACTCCTTATTTACATATCTTTAATAATAAATGTTGATTTGACTAAATATATTAATATAATAATAATATTTATTATCATATTAATATTTTTAATTGTCATTTTAGAGACATGGATGTAAATTAATTACCCCTCTTCTTTAATGTGTAAACTAACCATGGATTTTTCTTTGAAAGTTTGATCATTTTTATTATTCAATTTAAGAAAGAAAGCATTTTTTTTTAACTTCCCTTTTCTCTTTACTTTAAATTTCAAAGTTTTCCTTTATTTGTTTTTTTCTTCTCTAATCCAAATAATGCTAGGGTTTGCATTTGTAAGGTCCTTCACGTGTATTTGCAGAACGACCTCAACTGTAAGCTTGTAACTTTTGGTTTTAATATTTGAATGTACTTTTAGAAGGAGAAAGTGTTTCCAAATAGAAGCTTAGTCTGAAAAAGGCCTACCCCGAGCCATACAATCAGGTCATATGAAACAAGGTTGTGTTAATTTCGAGCAAATCATGACGTAAAGGAAAATTTTCCGTTGTGATTGGGGATTGTAGAAAAATAACCTTATTTTGTTTTCATTCAAGACAATTCTATTCAGGATACGTTCAGCCGCTAAATCTAAATATGGAATACTTCTTCCAACGAGATTCAAACCAACATTAAGTGAGCTGGACTTAAATATGCTATTCTACTAGTCTTAAAAAACTTGAAACTATTTATTCTGAATGCATGATTATCATTATTGTCACTTACACACCTGCTTCTAATAACCAATCTAATAACAGCGTTTCCAGCATGAACATACAACAACCTCCATGCACGGGGATAATGAAGGGTTGGAGTAACATTGGCAACAACTGGCTGTGTTGTCCTCAGTCATTTTTAGTCTCTGGAAGCAATCAATGTCTTCCCAGACCAAATCAGGATGCCATTTTCTTTGAGTGAAACAGCATCTTAGGTAATTGATATATACGAGCCTCATTGGGAAATGTATGATAAGCAGGCACATCAACAATGATTTGTGGTAGAAACGGACACATAAAAAGTCGCATGAACAAAAAGTCAGTTGACAGCTCTCAAATTCCTTAATATGAATTAATCGGAAAAGTCATTCGAGTATCTATCAATTACATCTCCCCGATGTATGTATGATTTCGGAATCATACATACACAAACTAAAACTAGAAATCCGAAATCCAAATTACGTTATTCTAGAATACAATCCTCTCTCGCTTGACTTGTTTCTAAATTGCCCTTTAAAATAAATAAGTCCCTTCAGAAACTTGTTTGACACCTGTATTACCTCCTCGCCTCCATTTGGCTTTTTCATTAAAATTAAGACATAAGAACTTTGTTTATATCCTTAATATACAAAAAAGGGCACAACCAAAAAGACTAACAAATAAAGCACCGGGTGAACAGAAAAAATAGAAACATGCCCTGATCTTGCCACAACTTATAAAAGTAGGTGAAACAGAAATTGGTATGATTTCGTTATATACAACATTAAAAACCCGACCACCTGGAGCAGATCAAGAAAGTTCAAATCCGGCATTTGAACTGATAGCATATAGAAGCTTTGCTCTCAAGGTGCCTGGACGTTTGTATGTTGGAAGCTGTAATCATTGAGAAGTGGAAAATAAAAGTGTAAATTCAGAAGTATGACAAATTGACAAAATATTGCCTGAAAATGCCAAGAATTGTCTCAAGTGACTCTCAATCACTGAATGGACATGTTTAGTTAGTGGACATCCAAATGTCCATAATAATTATTAAGAAACCTATTTATATGATATTTTGACGTATGAGACTATGAAAAATTCAACATTTGAAGTTCAATAATTCATACTCATAAACGACATAAGGATCTTGACTTTCAAGTACCTCATGCCAAATCCCAAATACCTTATTCATAAAACAAACAAACTTCAGTGCTAGAGGCTCCTCACTAAGCAAATGTACCGGGGAAGGGTAATTATCCTTCCCCCATTGCATAAGCAAAGAAGCTGTTTCGGGAGTCAACAAGTAACCAAGGCACAACTTTACGCTAGAGTCAAGGATCTCCCTCCTTATTCATAGATTTAAAACAAAAAACATTGGGAATGTAGGAGTCTATCATGCTAAATGTCTCCTAAGCGCCGAGTTAGAAATGCAGTACCTTGAGTGTATTGTAGCAGGTTGAAGCTGATGGAAGCCGATCTACATCTTGTCCTCCAATTGTTGCCCAAAGAGGAACATCGCAAGCAACCTATGTAAACAAATAGACGTGACGTGAGTGTTAATCAATGAAATCAAGACGTTTTATCATTAAAAGAAAATGCATTTTTTTTAGGGATTCTTCCAATAACTGGATCTTGATGTTGTAAAGGAGAGAGAGAACAGCAGAAATCCTAGAAAACAAAGGCCGGTGGTACAAGATTCAGGTATGTATCTCATAGCAAGCAGTTAAAGAACTAAACATCTAATGAAAAGATGCTTCATTCGTAGCATCTATGGTGCCAAATTATTTTAGATGACACTATTGCTTTGCTTAATATACTCTAGTAACAAAAAAAAATACAAACCATACCTTAATCATTAAAGAACAGGGCAGAATGGGAACAGAGAGGAGTTAGTAGAAATGATTTTAAATGCTCATCAAACATCAAAGATACCTTGTGGATGGTAAATGGTGGCTGCAAGTATTTGAACCCAAGTAATGGAGCACGAGAACAACTGGTGACAAATTTGAGAAGCAAACAACGCTCTTCAGGTTCAAAGCCTTTAACTACCTGTACACAGTTGGCAGAGAGCATAAAATGAATAAAGTGGTCTTAAAATCATCATCTGCACAAGTATTATGCATAGGTTCTAAAATATAATTCATGAGGCTGAGAGAAAGGGTCAAATGTCACATTATTAAGTAATCAACATGTACAAAATTCACAAAGTACCAAATTTGTGTGCATCAAGGAAAGAGAGAGGATGAGTAGTTCAACCTAATTCACCCAAAAAAATGGAACCTCGAGCCTTTTGCTAGGGAGAGGGGGACAGAGGAATAGGAGACCTTCTGATACTGTTACTGAAGAATCTACTTTATCTATAAGCCACCAATCTCAAATAACAGAAACTATAAAGAAATAACTTTGACTCTTGTCAAACATCAAGTGCTTTTACTTAAATAGGAATCTACATAGTAACATAGCCATTGTATCATTTTATGTATCTTTCCTGTTTGTATTCTAGAAGAACAATTTGATTGTTTGGTTCGAAATGAAAAATGAAATTATCTTTTACTGTTAATTTTTCAGCAGATCTACCCTCTTCTGGAAGGAAAAGTTAATGCAATAAAGTTTCTTAATTCTTTCTGACAGTGTTCTCCGTCGATGGAATTATTACCACAACAATCCAGTTTACCCAAATTTATTGAATATAATATAATAAAGGACACGGTTTTCTATATCAAGTCATTAATTCTTCCTTACGAGCAAAATCAGCAGAAAAAAGAAACCAAATCTGCAAAAAGTTTCAGGTATTAGTCATATGATACCATGTACAAAACTGGGTATGATAATAGTATAGAAAGCACAAGCAATAATACATTAGCTTAAATAATTTGTTCTGCATGGACATTTGTAATACTAAAACATTTAGACAAATAATATGAAAACTACATATATATATATATATATATATATATATATATATATGAGAGAGAGAGAGAGAGAGAGAGAGAGGAAGGAATCCACTTGCTTCAAAAGTAAGTGTAAGGGAGTTATTCTTCATCTCATCATTCATCTAATGGTGTAATATAATAATCCATCTTCACCATCAGATTACAAGAAAATAAATTATTTCTCTCTCTCTCTCTCTCTCTCTCTCATATATATATATATATATATATATATATATATATATATATATATATATATATATACATAAATGGGTCAAGATCCGTTTACACTAGAACTTAATCAAATTACAAGTTCAATAGAATGAAAACATAATCAATCCATCCGTTGAATTTTATTATATTATTATCATATCTATCAAAAAAATCATATTGATATGACAATACCTCCCAAAAAATCTTGATTGTACGGCTTCCCTCATTGTAACCACCCGTGTATCGTGTGTTATCTTTCAGATCATCAACATCAATATCATAATTCCCACCTGAAAGCAACTGCATTCTTGTATATCTAAGAAATCTTGCTGGCAAAATGAACTGACTAGAATGTATTTTTCACTGTATAAATATTTTTCACATTGGGAACTCTATTAGAGTCTCTTTCTCTTATTATATTCATTTGAACAAATTAAAAAGCACTAATACAGCAGATAATAACAGTAAGTGCAGAATTCTGTCACAAAAAAGTCCTGCTGCCCTTTTGTACAAGATAGAAGAGGAAACACTAAAAAAAATAAAAAAATAAAAGCTTTTCAACATACTAAGAAAAAGAAGATACCTGATTAAATTCACTAGCATTGAATAACTTCAACCAGGATGGAGATATAAGATCAGTTAACCCTCTATAAAACGCATTTGAAAAGGGCAACATCTGCAATTTCAATATTGTCACATATATACCCATGATACAACAGTGAACACAAACTGAATAACCTGCATTATACTACAGTAAATGATGGTAAAACCTGTTGGTTGAGTTTATAGTCTGCCATTGCATGCATGTACTGCATCTTGTTCTCATTCGTCACATAAATATCTTTGCCACCAGACTTAAGTTCAACCACATACCTTTTGCCCAATGATTCTTCAGTAACTGTGAAATCAAGACAGAGCTCCATGACATCACCATCATAATTCTGCATGAATGCGTATGTGAACCTTCCAGTACAGTGATAAAATGCCAGAACAGGAATACACGGTATCCAGCCCCAAGTCAAACAAAATCAAGCTAAATTAAAAAATAATATGCAGAATGAATAACATTACTGAAGTTTTAAGGTTGTCATGAATAATACTTTTATTGTAGAGTTATATAACATCCAGTTACTACACCTTCTCAGCATGACATGGACTCTTTGATCAATATTTATATACAATATTATTTATGCTTTTAGTAGGATTGCAAGGTTTGTCTGTAGAAGGATAAAATTTGTACGAGTAAAGCCATCATCAAACCAAGTCAAAATTCAAAAACATGGATCCTAATATAAACCAATGAGTCGTTTTGAATGTCATCAATCCTGATTAATGTTGACAATATTTATATGAATGAGATGAAAAACAGCATGGATTTTTCTCATGGGTTTACCTTGACATACATAAGATTTCTGTATAGCTCTGGATCAAGGGTTGATAATTCATCAAGAAAGCTATAACGTCCCAAAAGCTTTTGTACAAAAACATGGGAGAAAGAGTAATCGAGTAATATTCCTTCATATAGAGCTTTCCCCACTACTCTTCCAAGGAACTCAATCATCTGAAGACCATTCTCCAAATATCTAGCAGATGCAGTTGGAATTAGAAGCCTGTCTGAAGTTGAGGTTTGGGAAAAGAGTCCATATCTAAGTGAAAAGGACGAGGTGTCAGTTTATAAAGTCACTCCTGAAAGAGGCAATAACCAAGAAATAAGTAAGAAAGTTCAGAATAGTTTGTCAAGCTTACTCGGGAGCAAATGCTGCTTTTGATAAGTCAGTCAGAAACTCTTTAGATAATCCACCATAGTCCAGGCCAGCTTCAAGAAGACCACATTCACTAACAAATGATACATGGATAGATGACTTCAACCTTGACCCAAGGGAATTTAATTGCCGAAATCCATCTTCAACAACATGACCCCGACGTACTACAATCTCAATGGCTCGTGAACCAGGTTCAGAAATTTCACCAGCCATTTTTCGAGATGCTTTATCCATCTTGATGAATTCACGAAACATCTCAACTCTATTGCAGTGATAAAACAGATAATTGAATACTTTCTATAATCTATAGTAGATTATATCATGTCTTACAGTCAACAAATGAACATGATTTTGGTGACAAGTTGCAATCAAATATTCATCTGAACTCAATCACTCTACTTTTCTTTTAAAAAAAAAAAGATAAAATATAAATCCAATTTCATCACATTGATCAAGACTCTCATTGACAATAGTTTATTCTAATTTATTTTCTTAACTTATATCTTTCTAATGCTGAACATATAGTGTATAATTAATAAATAAATACAACCACTCAAGTAATAAAATATCCACTATATCATAAGATAAATGAGTCATAGTTACTCCCAAATGATTTTCATGAACATATCAAATTTAAGATAGTTTGAAAGATAAGGAGATATTATCAGTAATCTTCTACGGTGTACTCAGATTCTTCGTTTGATCATCCAACAGTAGAAGGAACAAAAAAAATATATGAAGGTACCTTGAAAAGTTTAGTTAACACAACCCGGATGACTGAAAATCAAATCATAGAACTTAATAAATTTATTCACCCTGGCTGCAACACAGATCATCTAGCTCTTCTTTGCTTATACCTTACCCTTCTAAAGAATCAATTTAATATGACAACAGAAATGACATACAAGAAATAAAGAACAGAATAGCATAATTACATAAATCATTTATCACAAAACAAGAGTCCCCTTAATGGTCATGGAATTAGTTACCTTTCCTCAAAAGGGAAAATGTGAGGAACAATGGTGACAACAGAACCTGCACTCAATAAGGCTGATGAATCGTCATATTTCAGGTTCGCTACTAAAACTTCATGAGTTCTGGCAGCGACTGCAATTGGTGGCCGACTCCTTCTAGCAGGAGAAAGCCACAAAGCAGGGGGGCAAAATGGGTGTCTGCAATCCCTTTCATACAGTAAATGTAAGCATCTGACAGCGCAATCCATGAGAGGCCTATTATGATGACCACTAACATGAGACAAGCCATTATAAACAAGGGTATTTAGCATTGATGCAATTCTTCTTTGCTGCTCTATTTTGAATGGAACCTAGAAACATTATATTCCGAAAGTTAGTTTGAAAATGTGAATTAATTGATAGAAGAAAGATAGGGACAAATAGCGACCAAAAGTTACCTGTTTCTCATAGAACTCTATGTCATCAAGAACTAAAAGCAGGTGAGAATAGGCCGCACAGAAGAGATGAAGCACAGCAAACATATCCTTTGGAATGCCTTGTGGTCCATGCCTCATAGGTTCTATGTCCCATATATCTGATGAATCCTCATCTACTCTGCTAGGCTCAGAGTGACTGCCAATAAAATCAGTGCACTCTGTTGCTGCTCGTGACATACCTGTAAATTTATGAAGTACATTGACCCACTTATTAACCCCGTCTTTGCTGACATGTTTGTGCATCTTCTCAAAGGCTTTATGTTTTCTGTTTTCACTTGTGTGACTATCAGAATTATATTTGTCTCCAGAGAAAAAGGAACCCTCCAGTACACTCCATAACCTCAAAAGAAATCCTGGAGTGAATGATAGCATGTTGAGAACTGATAATGAGGCACGAATTGGACTCAAGACTGAAAATATTCTAAGTAGGTTAGAATAAAAAAGTGCAACATCACAGAGTTCTAGCACAGTCTCAGCCTTGTTAATGGAATCTCCATCAATTGATGCCAAAAGAATTTTGAGATGCCACTGCTGACAAACAGGCCTAAATTGATCCATGTATGACAATATTAAGGATTCATTGGTTTCTTCACCCTCGTGCTGAACTGCATCAACTGGCTGTGTTGAACTTTCAACATCAGTTTGAAAGGCTTTCTTTTTCTTTCTGACCCATCCAATATTATCAAGACAAGCCAGTAGAGCCTCGGCTAATGTAATAACAACACGGACATACAATGCATGGTCTAAACCTTGATTGAAGGATTCATTCTCATTCCCTGTTGCTAAGCAGATAATGTTAGTGAGGGCCCAACCAACTGGTGGAATAGCCTTAAAAGAGAAAGGAATCTCTGATTTGACAAACTCTGTCATCTCCATTAAAACTTTCTCTTTCAAAATCTGTCATTGCCTGTCAGAGTTTGATCAGTTCTGATATTTAAATCATAAATCATAAACTATGAAGTCATACGATCTTATTGACTTGGGTTGAAAGCTTAATGGAAGGAATATTCAAGAATAAAGTTCAAAATCTAATAATTCAATTAAAGTTCATTATTTTTAATTTCATCTGTCACTGGAAAGCAGCATCTAAATATACATCAGAGAGGTGTTCCTTCACCATCAGTAATATAAAATATGCAATTAGGCAAAAAAATGATAATATATTTGATAACTGGGGGTGAAAAAAACACCTTTGAACCATGTCACTTATTACAGAAAAACATATCAAGTGTTTTTGGTTTAGAAATATAGTATCTATATATTACAACATATAAATAGTGAAAAATAATTAGATAGTATATTTAAAATAACAGCAGACACAATTATTTGCATCATCCAAATTGCAATACTAAATGATAAATACTATAAAAAAAAGAAAAAAAAAACTTTAAAGCAAGAAATATCCATCTTTGGTTTTGCAAACTTACAAATACAACATCAAATAAATTATGTATGCATAGAGAAGCCAAATATGCACGCACAATCATCAACTCAGCAAGTTGGAAGTTGGCACTAGTTTAATCAAATTATACATATGGGTTACATTTACATGATTTGTCATTGTCAAGAAGAAGTAAAATATTCAAATAGAATAAAGAACAATAAAACAGACCAAGATGTCATTAAAATAAAAGAGTGGACAAATAATTGTGCAGGTGATCTTGTTCTACTTTTATGATGCTTACCAATAGAGTCTGGAAGCATGGAAACAAAATAGATTTGTGCTTTAATGCTGGTAGAAGAACAAGGGGGAGATGTTTCACTAGCCAAGGTATAGTCAGCAGATAAATAATATACTGCTCAGCAGCATCGTTGAAATCCTGCGTCTTAGGCACTTCTGCATCATAGTTTGTCAGATAAAACGGCCGTACACCTAATGTTATTGCACTTGCAGTAATGAAAAAATTTTCATCTGCCTGGGTGGTCTTTGACAGAGAAGAATGATTTTCTAAGGCACTAATATATCTGCCAATAGACACATAACAACCACTTTTTTTACCCCCCATGAACTGGATTAAATCTTCCACTGCTAAGTCTGCATCAAAGAGGTTGTCATTTGTAATTCCTTTCCATCCTTTCAGATCAGTTAACATTACAAGAACACGCATAGCTAGAGATGTAACAATAGTAATATCATGGGCCCCTGAGTGGCATTCACTAAATTCTGAAAGAATGAGAAAACCAAGAGAAGTCAGCGTCCGTGCCTGGTATCTCCATATTCTTCTTTCTTCAGTTGTACCAATTGCCAGAAAGCAAAAGTTCAGCTTTAAATCTAATCAAACACAAAAATAGACACATTAGTAATGTATTAAGTATGTTAAACAAAAGGAAAAGGGGAGAGCAATGAGGGTGGGGGATACAGGTATTTTGAACTCTCAAAACTAAGAAAAACAGTGCAACAAAAAGCATCTCAGCATTCATAATTCCATCAAGTCATTACAATGAAACGACTTGTATAATTGGAAAGTGAACTTCAAATCAAATAAAATCCAATTAAGAGGATATACCAGAAGATTTCAGGCTTTCCAATAGGATCGTAAAGCACAGTTTCATGGAATCTACTCTCTTGCAGTGGACCTTTTGATGCTGAGTTGAGATACGGGTAATAAAGAATAGAAATGGTCTCAGCAAATTGTCTGAAATCCAATTTGCTGTCATCACACCATGATAATGATGTACCACTGTCTCCCACTGTTGCTGAAGTTGCAAAGAAACTGTCTTTGTGACCTTGAACCGCCTCCATACTCTCTATTAACATTAAAAAATACCCGTAATTTCTCCATTTTGATATAAACATGTGGTGCAAATGAAAACTAAAATGTACTAACAAATTGCATTCCAACTTTCTAATATTGTTTTTACAACAAAGTAGGCCTCAAGTATACAATTTTTTGTTTTCAATGACTCTAAGTTCATTGGCTTCATTTGTTGAACAAAATAATGTCAAGCATAGTCTAAAAGAATCAAGTAAAATATCCTAAGAAAAATTGGAATGACATTTCACTTTGTAACTCATTGCTTCTATAAGCACTCAAGAAATGACACTGAATGGAGAACAGCTCACAAACAAAAGAGCTGGCACAAAAGGGAAGTCTCAAGACGGACTCCATTCTGATGTCTAGGGAAAGTAAGATGTACACATTTATGAGCAAACATGGCGTTTCCACAACCAGAATTCATGGCCAAGATATCACATCAAGCTGCAATTTTTACATTGTACCAAGGTTTGTTAAAAAACATGAACACTTCTAAATGGTAGTCATGTTGCCATACATATATTAATCAGGTTCTATCATTCCTCTCTATACTTACTAACCAAACAGTTTTTCATCGTGAGAGACAGTTGTTACATACAGTTGAGTTAATATATTTGGATTACAAGTGATTATTGTTACTGCTTCACCAGATTTCTAATTGTTTACCGCTGTGGCTTGCTTATATACAAATATGAGAAATCTACAAATAATAGTTATACAGATTCAGTTTTTTCCTGAACCTCAGAGTCTTATTTCCCCTCTCAATTTTCTCTTCTCATAAACTTGTAATCATAATGCGTCAAACCAGTATCAACATCAGACATTGCATGAACACTTTGAATACAAGTTGTATTTTTTATTTTGATTTTTATAATTTCACACCCATGTGAGATTGAGTACAATAACAATTAGATAAATTTTAGCATTTTATTATGTCTACACTAATCCATACTCATTTTAAACCCAAATTCTGTCTTTCTGTTTGACATTTTTATTTATATTAATTTTTGTACAAGTCATATGTATCCTATGCATAAGACAATCTTGTGTGAATCAGATAAGACCATTTCATGCAGTAAAGCTCTCCCTCCGAATGTATAATATAATTGGTTAACTAGGCCACGAACTTAAAACCACCAATGAAGGTAAAACAACCATGTAACAATTAGTCCATGTTCTCAGTGATAAACTTTTGCAGTGCCACGTAATTTTCATAATTTACCATGTTCCCACGCTCATGTGGTGTGGTAACTTTTAAAATGAGGGAAATTGAAAGAACCTGAATGAAGAGAGCAGCAGCAGCAGCTCGTTTTGCATAATTGCGAAGTTCTCTTTCCTGGGAGACCTTCTGAAGAAGGGCGTCACGCGTTATCTCCTTCGCACTTGCTCCTCTCAACGACACCTTAACGGTGAAAATTAACAACAACCTCCATAATCAGAACCACCACCGAGTAATGATCAAATCATAATTATTTGCATAATTGATAACGGAGGCAAATCAAGCGCAGTATTCATGCGAAATTAAGGAACCAGATTCATTAATTGATTGATTGATTGCAGGTAAGAGGAGTTAGTGACTACCTACCTGCTGCTTACGAGGTGCGTCCATGGAAATCACTGACTAAGGAGAGCCTGGATTCTCAGCTCCATTTCTTTCCCTTTTCCATAGCTCTCTTTTTCTTTGCTTTATTGTTAAGGTAATTTTTGGTGTGACAAAACAAAACAAGGAGAAGTCAGTTGTAATCCTACCTCACTTTTCAATAGCCGATTTTTCTTTAATTTGCTTTTATTATGTTTTTTATTTTTTTTAATTATATTTATTATAAAGAAAATAAGTTATTACAAATATTTTAAAAAAATTATGAAAATATTATTAAAAAATTAATGAAATTAATATTTATATGATTTTTGTAATCAAATTTTAAATAGTATACTACAGATTTATTTTTTATTTTTCAAAATTATTTGTAATTTTTAAATTTTTTTAAATTAAAAATTTGTTTAATAATATTTGGGTTAAAATATTTTTTTAAATTAACTTTTGACATTTTTTTATGTTTCTATTAATAATATCTTTATTAATAATTTAATTGTATCATTTATCTTTATCATGCTTTTTATTATTATTATTATTAACGTGTTTTTAAAAATAACTTTTAAATTAAAAATATTAGATAATTTTATTTAAAAATAATTAATTTTTAAAATTAAAAAATAAAATTAAGAATCATAAAAATTTGTTTTATAATTTTAAAAATATTTTCCTTATTATTTATTAAAATTATTAATTTAATATTTTGTATAAGAAAAATATATAATTGAAAATGCAGAGAATGTATATACAGTGTATGGATAATTGAAATTCATATTTAAATAATTTAAAATAAGTAAATATTATAAATATAAAATAAAAATATTGAAATTCAAAAATAAAATAATATCTTAAATGAGGAAGTTGGTGCTCGAGATGAGAAGTGATGCCAATTCAAACTGGGCTTGCTTACTGGTTAGAGAAATTGTAAATATACTAGACTGTGTGTTTACGCGCCAAGGATGGAGAGTGTAAACTGCAGTTGCAACAGAGGAAATGCTATTGCCATTGCTGTGGATAGGTGGCAGTCAAGCCTCTACTGCAAATCCTTCAACTCTTCTTCCATTTACCTCAGACCACCATCCTCCAACCCTCTTTCCCTCTCTTTCCGCCGCAACCTCCGCCATGCCACCCACTACCTCCCCCCGGACTCCCACTCCCTCATCCACGCCCTATACGTCTCCTCCCGCGCCGCCGACATTCATCTCACCAAGACCGTCCACGCCACACTCCTTAAACTCCACGAACATGACACACACCTTTACAACGCTCTCATCTCCGCTTACCTTAAACTCCGCCTCTTCCCCCACGCGCTCCGCCTCTTCCTCGCCCTCCCTTCCCCCAACGCCGTCTCCTACACCGCCCTCATTTCCGCCCTTTCCAAGTGGCCCCACCGCGAGCGCCACGCGCTCAACCTCTTCCTCCGCATGACGCGCTCCCACCTCATCCCCAACGCGCACACATACGTCGCCGTTTTAACTGCCTGCACTAGAATCCTCCACTTCCAATTGGGCCTCCAGGTCCACGCTGCCGCTCTCAAAACAGCCCATTTCGATTCCACCTTCGTCGCAAACGCCCTCGTGTCTCTCTACGCCAAACATGCCCCTTTCCATGTTGCGCTTAAACTCTTTAACCAAACACAGCACAGGGACATTGCGTCGTGGAACACTATTATCTCCTCTGCCGTGCAGGAATCCATGTGCGACACTGCATTTCGGTTATTCCGTGACATGCAGACGACGGATGCATTTCGAGTCGATGATTTCACTTTGTCGATACTTTTGTCTGCGTGTGCGTCGTTGGTGGAAGGTCAACAAGTTCACGCGCACGCTGTTAAATTAGGCTTGGAAACTGGTTTGAACGTTGGGAATGGACTCACTAGGTTTTACACTAAGTTTGGAACCCTTGAGGATGTGGAGTGGTTGTTTGAGGAGATGAGAGAGAGGGATGTTATAACTTGGACTCAGATGGTGACAGCATGTATGGAGTTCGGGTTGGTGGATTTGGCTCTGAAGGTGTTTGATGAAATGCCCGAGAAGAATTCGGTGTCTTATAACGCGGTTTTGTCTGGGTTTTGTCGAAACGAGGAGGATTTAGAGGCGCTGAAGTTGTTTGTCAGAATGGTGGAGGAGGGCTTGGAGTTGACGGATTTTAGTTTGACTAGTGGTGTAGATGCTTGTGGATTGCTTGGTGATCACAAGGTCAGCAAGCAGGTTCATGGGTTTGCGGTGAAGTTTGGGTTTGGATCAAATGGTTGTATTGACGCGGCATTGCTTGACATGTACACAAGGTGTGGGGGCATGGTGGATGCGGAGAAGATGTTTTTGAGATGGGAGGTGGAGGAGTTTAGCCCTGTGGCTTGGACAGCCATGATATGTGGCTATGCTCGAAACGGGCAGCCAGAGGAGGCAATTTCTCTTTTTCACGTTGGCCGATCCAATGGGAAGGTGATTATGGATGAAGTTGTGGTGACTTCGACGCTTGGTCTTTCTGGAACTGTTGGCCATCATGATATGGGTAAGCAAATTCATGGCCATGTTGTTAAATGTGGCTTGGGATCCAATTTGGAAGTGGGAAATGCACTTGTTAGCATGTATTTTAAGTGTGGGAACGTGGATGATGCAATGAAGGTGTTTCATGATATGGCTTGTACTGATATAGTTACATGGAATACTTTGATTTCGGGAAATCTTATACACAGACAGGGGGACAGAGCATTGGAATTATGGGCGGAAATGCAGGAGAAAGACATAAAGCCTGACCAAGTTACATTCGTTTTGATAATTTCAGCTTACAGGCAAACTAGCTCAAATTTGGTTGATGATTGTCGTAGTTTGTTTAATTCCATGAGAACTGTTTATCAAATTGAGCCCACATCCTTGCATTATGCTTCCTTCATCAGTGTTTTGGGTCACTGGGGTTCTCTGCAAGAAGCACTAGAAACTATCAATAAGATGCCTTTCCGGCCTTCTGCTCTTGTTTGGCGCGCTTTGCTTGATGCTTGCAAACAGCATAAGAATAAATTGATTGGAAAATGGGCTGCTCAGAATATTCTTTCCCTCGAACCTAAAAATCCTTCAACGTTTATACTTGTTTCAAATCTGTATGCTGCTTCTGGGAGATGGGACCGCTCTGAAATGGTCAGGGACGAGATGAGAGAAAAGGGGATTCGCAAACACCCAGCTCAAAGTTGGATAATTTCTGAGAAGAAAATCCATACATTTTACCCCAGAGATAGATCACATCCTCACGATAAAGACATATACAGTGGTTTGGAAATTCTGATCTTGGAGTGCCTAAAAGTCGGATATGAACCTGACACGAGCTTTGTTCTCCATGAAGTAGAGGAGCATCACAAGGAAAAATTTCTATTCCATCACAGTGCTAAACTGGCAGCAACTTATGGGATACTGATGACCAAGCCTGGAAAGCCCGTTTGGATTGTAAAGAACATCCTTCTTTGTGGAGACTGCCATACATTCTTAAAATATGCATCAATTGTCACGAAAAGAGATATATTTCTGAGAGATTCTTCCGGATTTCATTGTTTCTCCAATGGCCAGTGTTCGTGTAAAGACTGCTGGTGAAACGCTTATTCGCCGGTCATTGTAATTTATATCAATGATGTTTGCTGAATAATTTTGTTAATTATAGGATAGCAATGTTAGATAAGAGTTGTATCAAAGATTTTTCTATAGATGTTACTACGAATTTGGTGGGACCAATCAACTAAGAGAAAATGAGTAAAACAGCAGGAGGAAGCTGAAGAAAGACGCTCCTTTTACTAACGTTTAGGTGGCCCGGCGATGGCTTAGTCCGGACACAGAAGGCATATTCGCAGCCAATTTGTCAATAATTTTGTTATATGTAAAAATTTTAAATTTGTATATATTAGTTAATATTTTTATTAGATAAATTACAAAAATTATTATATTTATATATTAAAATATTTAATTATAATTAATAATTTAAAATTAATTAATATTTTAATTTAAAGTATAATTTTATGATATATTTATATATTTTAATAACACTATATAAAAATTATAACATTTTTAAATTTTATTTTAATATATAAATATTTTTTTAAATCATATTAGTTTATTTTGGTCTTGATTCATGGAGTTGGCACAAACCAACCAACAAAAACTATTAATTACTAATGTTCTAGTAAAAGAGTTAGGTTTTAGAACTGTATAGTTTCATCTGAATACAGATGTATTTTGTCAGTTACCTGATATCTTCGCTGTCTCTAACAGTTTTAGAACTCAAATAATACTATTCATTATTTTATAACAATTGCATTATGTCTAAATATAGGTTAATTCTTTTCACATGAGTTTCGTTAAATTAATAAAACTCTTTTTGAACAAAAAATAATTACATTTTAACGTATTTATTTCTATCATTAATCCGATAAACACAAATATTATTATATGTCCACCCAGTTATTTTCCCTGTTTTGAAGTTCATCAACCAACTGAAAGGATACAGTGGAGAGAATTCACCTGAATTTAGTTTTGGGCTTGGTGTGTTGGTGGAAAAAGAGTTTGAAGTTTGGAATTCTAAGTAAAAGCATGTCACTCGCTAGGACCAAGTAGCAATACACTTTTTCTCTTCACACCCCCATATTGACATTGACAAAAAATACCAAGTAGTTTTGGGAAGATATTTTAGAATACGTAAATTAAGTTTTTTAAATTTTGTAAATATCCTGTAAGCTAAATTTTCAAAATGCATTTAATATATTCTCTAAAATATTATATATTATTTCATTGGGTTGAACTTTCTTATTTAATTATTCAACCCAACTCAATCATGGTAAGGTTGGATTATTATCATATTAAATAATAAAAATAAACATAATTATATTTTGAACTCTTAAAAACTATCATTATGATATAATTAATTTAGACTTTATTATACTAATTTATAGAATCAATAATAATCTATAATTATATAAAAGATTCTTTATTTTGTAATCTTTATAATTTTATTGTCAATAAAAATAATACAATCTATATTATATTAATAAAAAATTATTAACATATTATGTATTTAAGAGAGAAACAAGTGTGATTAAAAAAAACGTCTAATACGTATAAAGAATAAAAGAAAAAAGTATGATATACAAATAAAGAACTAGTATTTTAAAATAATAATAATCTAAAAATATGGGTTTTAGTATTTCTTACATCTCATGACTAGTGTTTGAAAAAGTTATAAACATCCATTTCCTTGTATATGGAAATTAACACAAAACCATAATATATTATATACATATTCATAGAAACTTCTTTTTCATAGAGGGGAAGAGTAGATAAAACTATCCTTTACCGATAGATTTGAAAACATGACGGAGAAAGAAAGAGAGTGGAATTTGCGGAAGAGTTCATCATATTGATAACATGAGTCATTTATTATATATTACTTAATAACATCATTATGAATTAAAATCCAAACCATATCATATGATATAGACTTGTAGTAAAATAAAAGTTGTCACGAATATATATGTCCATTTTCCCTCAGCTTGTGGACGCCACGCAGGACATGTGGGAGGAATAGAAAATCATTTTGATTTTAAGAAACACCGCGTTGCGGTGCCGTTGGGTTAAAGAGTGGAATATTATGGCACATTTCATGAGCTCTCATTCCCCGCCACACCGTCATAAGAAAAAAAATTGTAAAAATTAAATATTAATATATATTTTTTTTAATTGAACAGATTTTGCGATTTAAATTAATAAAAACTAAATTAATATCTCAAATAAAAAATCAACTTTAAAAATTTTGATAATATATATATATATATATATATATATATATATTTTTTTTTAATTTTAGCATAATGCCAGCAACTACACCCCGATGAGTATAAAACACAGTATGAAACAAAGAATATGTCCCCATGTTTGCTATATATTTCAATAAAAGAAGAAAAAAATATATGGAAATGACATAACGACAGATTTTAATTTATTATTTTAGAATTTAGGTTAACAAATTAAACATATTTTGATTATAAATTTTAAAATATTTTTGTTTGAAGTAACTGGTTACACAAATTTGCGTTAATTTATTAAATTTCATTATAAGATTATGAGGGTTATGCAGAATAGTAAAATGTCTTAAAAATTATTTTCAGAACATTGATGAACTGGAATGAGCATTTTGTATTTAGTGGAACTCGAGAGTATGTAATGAAGTGTAGCTTTGGTTCATGGTTGGTTGGAAGCATTAGCACAAGTTGGGTAAAGCTATCTAGAACTGAAACTCGTGTATAAAACAAGACAAAATATACAAAAGAGATAGTGACAAATACTCTGTTTTCAATTGTATAGTTAAAAAAAATACAAATTAAACTGGTTTAATTAATATTGAATTAAATCAAACTATTTGCAAGTTGACTATTAATTTATGTATTAAATAACAAAGAAAATATGATAATTTGGACCACCAATATAAGAAAATTTCTAAAGCGTATTTATAGCAAAATTCATCCATTAAAACCTCTAGTGTGAGAAAAATAATATCACTATACACTCATTAAACGTAAACTGTGTGTGATTGTTCTTCATTTATTTTAAAAAAATAAAAACGTTGAAATAAACATAGAAGCATTTTTGGGACTTTTTTTCTTCTTCTTTTTTATTAAAAATTTGTAGCCTAAGATTTTCACTTACCAAAAATAAAGAAGATGAATGTTAAAATTAAAAGATCGTGTGATCATAATGCCTTGACCTGTAACTGCCGTTGATGTAATAAATGGGAGGTGGCATGCATCAGAGTTATGACTCATGAACAACTACTGTATTATACTCTCTCTTTCTTTTCTTTTATCCTGTTCAATTATTACAGTTTTTGGACTTTTTTTTCTTGAGAATCGGATTAAAATACTGACATGTTTCATTACTACCACTTAGGAGCTGTTTGAATAAAAAAGAAAAATATTGAAAAGTTGGTGTAGAATAGTAAAAATAACCAAAAAATAATTAATAAATTTTAAATGCTAGCATAATTTTAAAAGAAAACAAGTAGTTAATTTTAATAAACAACTGTAATAACCAGTCAAACATACTTTAAAGACATTATTAGTATTATGTGATTTTAGTGTGCTACACTGTTGATTTTAAATTTTAATCACATTTTGGTATTTTTACTTTATTCATAATTTTAGTCCTCTATTTTTCTTTATTTTGAAAATAATATAAAAATTAATTAAACTTGATTTTCGTAAAAAACAACGAGAAAAGTCAGATATTGAGAAAACCCCACACTATAAATTATTCTTATGTAATTGTCATTAAAAACGACACGTTCGAAGTAGAGTGAACGACACGTGTGGATTAAAAGAACTGGCGTCGGAGAAAGGGTAGAAAATAAAGGGTAGAAAATAAGGGAATGCGGTGAGTTGTTGGTAAAAGGGAATAGAGAGGGGTAAAAGAGGAAATGCAAAAAGTTGCATGCAAAAACTCGGATTTTGAGGGCAAAGTGTGTGGACGCTTGGCATGAGATCGCACCCATTTATTACCAACACTTCAACATCATATTCCTCTGCTCTGCCACCAAAACACTCTTCTACTCTAAATCCTTTCTTTCTTTCTTTCTTTCTTTCTTCACAGACAAAACACAACCATGTGTTCTGCAACCACAGTCTAGGTACACAGCACAAGCCACCTGCTTTCTCAATTCTGTCGCAGAAGGTTAAGAAACAGCTCCAATGGGTAGTGCTAGATGGGGTTCAGGGGCATCTTCATCCATCAAGCTCTTGCTGTTCATGGTGCCTCTCGTGCTCGTTGCAGGCCTTGTCTCTGTTTTGGGTCCTAACCCCTCTAGTTGGCTTTCCATTGCCAAGCCACCTGTGTTGTTATTGAACTCGGTCACTTCCTCAACTGGTAGTGGTGCTGTCACCACCCCTTCTCAGATGAAGCAGAGGGAAGGAGTAGTGGTGATGCCCGTGGATGATCGTGCTCGAGACAATGCTATCTCTGATGACACTCGCTTCAATCTCTCCTCTCCTCCTCCATTTTCTGTTCAGGCCACCACACAAACACCTCAACAACCTGTAAGAGTTTTTTCTTCTTTTAGTATTGTAATTCAACCCTTAAGTTTGCATTTTTTTTTTCTTTATATAAAAGCCATTACAACAGGGGTAGGATAGGACAGAATTTAGATACAACTATGTACTTTCCACCTACAGAATCCAAGTTTCACGGTGGTAATCCAAATAATAAAGGTATGACTAAGGGTCGCGATTCTGCTTGAGAATTATACCAGCAACACCTATCTAAGAACAAAACTGTGTAATAAAGTTTGAATTGAAAGATCATATGAATTATTACGGTAAAACTTGAATCTGAGGCTGTATTTAAGTTTTCTTTCTTCAGTAAATAGTAATTTATCCAAGTTTTGTTCGATAGAAAAATAAGTAGCACAATGGATTATGGAAGGTTCTAAGATTAAATTTTCATGGAAAATGTCAGATGATTGTTATAATCAAGAAGGAAAGAATGTACAGATAGAAAGAAAAGAATGTGACCAAAGCCATTTGAGAATGTTACTGACTAGATACCTTAACCTTTTTCTTTAATTTTGCAGAAAAGATCCAGAAGTTTAACTAAATTTGTTTTGGGATAATACCCAAACGAGAGAAGGAGAGATTAGTTGTTGTTATTATTATTATATAATTTCATAGCGTTGTCATTTATAAATACTATTCTTTTTTATAGTAAGCTTTATCAGAAAAGGAGATCCAATACCTCAATTTAAGTTATTGTAGATGAGAGGAAATTGGAGAATGAAGATAAATAATATTTCGCAATTAAATTTAACTGAACCTTACGGTTTCGTCTACGCACTGCTATTAAATGTTTGGTTTGACCACAAAGAAATAAAATATATTTGCTTATTATTTCATCTTTTCGAGACTACTTTTCTCGGTGAAATGGAAGGATTTGAAATAATGCAAATTGCCATATCAACTTGGATGTTACTTTGTAATTGTTACCTCAGTGTTGCGATCCAAGGAGTTTTCACGTATTTGAGGATTTCAGACTCATAATTTATGTCTATGCTGTCCCCTCCTCGAAAGTAACTAGCGTAAATACGCAAAGAAAAGCTAGCCCCCATCCTTTGGGTTTTCACTTTTCAGAACTTTATTTGCTTTACAATGTGCAATTTGTTTCTACAAGTTACCAAACAAAATTGGACTTCTGGGGTTACAAACATTGGGTTGTGTTTATCTTCATAATTGTTCGTTGGATAATTTCCCTTTCGGTTTTTCAGAAGCGACCTGTTAGTTAGGTTAGTAATGACACTCTAGTATGGTTGAAATTAAAATGCTACGCATTTATAAATTTGAAACGAAGGTGATGACGACCCATCGTTTTATTTACCAGAACAAGGATGAACAAAATGTTTCCCAAACTTTGCCCAACATGACTTGTGTGAACGAGTCTTGTGTTCCACCAGAGAGGCCAAAGCTGCAGAGAAAAATCAGCATCTTGGATAGAACCGAAGCAGGTCTAATAAAAGCTCGAGCTGCAATTAGAGAAGCAAGAAACGGAAATCAAACACAAGATATAGACTATGTTCCTATTGGACCAATGTATATAAATGCTAATGCATTTCACAGGTAAATAATGTACATTAAGCAAATAACATCTCCACTTTCTTTGGTTTAATCCAATTAGCTTATTTGACTTATGCATGTGACAGGAGTTACTTGGAAATGGAGAAACAGTTGAAAGTATATGTGTACGAAGAAGGGGAGCCTCCAGTTTTCCATAACGGACCTTGCAAAAGCATATACTCGATGGAGGGAAATTTCATCCACGCTATTGAGATGAACGAGAAATTCCGAACAAGAGATCCTGAGAAAGCACAAGTGTTTTTCTTACCTTTTAGCGTAGCAATGTTGGTACAATTTGTGTATGTACGAGACTCTCACGACTTTAGTCCCATAAAAGAAACTGTCACGGATTACGTCAACATCATCGCAGGAAGATACCCGTATTGGAATAGAAGCCTTGGAGCTGATCATTTCTATCTTGCTTGCCACGATTGGGTAATTAAAATCCCTGCATTCGTTTTTTTAAAATTTTATCAGAAAATAATTAACAAGTGTTTTTTCAGGGGCCAGAGACTTCGCGTTCCGTTCCTAATTTGCAGGATAACTCTATACGTGTGTTGTGCAATGCAAACACTTCCGAGGGATTCAAGCCTTCCAAGGATGTCTCCCTGCCGGAGATTAATCTCCAGAGTGGTTCAATAAACGGTTTGATTGGTGGGCCGTCTGCTTCTAAACGCCCACTCTTGGCCTTCTTTGCTGGTGGGCTGCACGGCCCAATTCGGCCGGTTCTTCTTGAACAGTGGGAAAACAAGGACGAGGAGATGCAGGTTCACAAGTACCTTCCGAAGGGTGTGTCCTACTACGACATGCTGAGGAAGAGCAGGTTCTGCCTCTGTCCTAGTGGGTACGAGGTAGCAAGTCCCAGAGTAGTGGAGGCAATCTACACAGGGTGTGTTCCAGTGCTCATTTCGGATCACTATGTGGCTCCTTTCAGTGATGTTTTGAATTGGAAGTCCTTTTCCGTTGAGGTTTCGGTTGAGGACATTCCCAAATTGAAGGAAATTTTGTTGAGTATTTCTCCAAGACAGTATATAAGGATGCAGAGGAGAGTGGTACAAATAAGGAGGCACTTTGAGGTCCACTCTCCTCCCAAGAGATTTGACGTCTTCCACATGATCCTTCATTCTGTATGGCTTAGAAGATTGAACTTTAGAGTCCACCATGATCAATAGCTCATGCATTGTTTCCACGATTAGCATGTTAGTTTCTCATTGTTTTGCAACGTAATATCGTGTCATTCTTTTCCTGTCCTGTATAAAATTTTCAGAACCAAAAATAAATTTTCATTTTCTCCGTATTCTATTCCAGTATCAGCCATTTGCTTCAGCGAGAAGGATACGACTTAAATTGTTCAGCAAAACATTTCATTCAAGAGTGAATGCTAGCACAGGGATTTCTTAAGAAATATTTTTGCTTACACCTAACATGTAGTGGGAACATTCGTAAACTAGGAATGGTCGATGAAAACTACTACTACAACCCGCAAACTTAAAAAATAGTCTAAATTAGATTAACAACCTTAATTATATTCAAATAGCCCTTTATTATACAGAGAACACAACAATTAGAAGAAGGGAATTCCCACGAATTTTATTTTTTCAATTTTTTCTAAACGTTCTAGATTTTTCATTTCATCTTTCAATCAAAAATGGACCCAAAAGAAATACAAATATCTGACTTCACATCGAATCATTAGATTAAACATAACTTTAGCATATCCAAATTAAAATTATTTTGTAAATCATTTATAGTTGTTAATGTTTAAGTGAAATTTCACATACATCTTTAATTTAGAACGTGCACATGAAATTTCAAAGAATCTTAATCCGATATTTCAAGCACCAACAAACCTCATTTTAAATCTTGGATTAAAAATAGAAAAAAACTTGGATTTGAAAAATACACATTTCAATAATTTCATATTTCATATTTCAATGATTTAAAATTTCATTCTTTTGAAACCAATTAGGCACAAAAGAGTAGGGAATGGCATCATCGAGAGAGTCTATGCAGTGAAAGAAGAGAAGCTCATATTGTGGTGGTGAACTAAACTTTACCCTGAACACGCCACGTTGTTTGACACGCATCAGATCCTCTTTCGATAGATATGGATGTAGGAGACGGTTTAGAAACGATACATGTCAGCACCGAGTAGCATCACAGGCTACGTGTCACATTTCCCTGCCTCCTTTACCTCCACGTGTCACTTCATTATAAGCCTCTCCACCACGTGTCACTCTCCCACCTAACTTTTTCCGCTTCAAAATCGTATATATATCTTCCTTCACACATTCGTTGTCCATTCATCACCACCTTCCACAAGTTCATTCAAACACAAGTTACAATTAGGTTTAAAACTCGAAACAACATTGTGCAATCAACCATAAGATCGATGGCGTCGGGACAGCAATTCAAGGGTGACAGAGCCGAGGCAGCAGCGAAACTCGCTGCCAAAGACATCGGCGATATCAACAGAGCGAACGAGCGTGATGCGAGCTACGACTTGCACCCCGAGGTCAACTTCAAGCAAGCACGAGCCGAAGCAGCGGCGAAGCTCGCCGCAAAGGATCTGGAGGATGTTAACAGAATGAGGGACAACACTGTGACCACATTGAAAGAGCAACAACATTACGACGATAATAGACCCGGCGTGATAGGGTCCATGTTCAGAGCCGCTAAGGAAGCGGTGGTTGGGAAGCCTCACGATGTAGTTGAGACCTCGCCAAGGGTTTATGATTCCACCACCAGAGAGAAGGTAAGGGAGACGAAGGAGCAAGGTGGATCCAAGATGGGGGAATATGCAGATTATGCGACTCAGAAGGCGAAGGAAACGAAGGATGCAACGATGCAGAAGACTGGGGAGTACACAGACTATGCGACTCAGAAAGCGAAAGAAAGCAAGGACTATGCTGCGGAAAAGGCTAAGCAAGCTAAAGATGCTACAGTGCAGAAAGCTGGTGAGTACAAGGATTATACTGCTGAAAAGGCAAAGGAAGGGAAGGACACAGCAGCGGGGAAGCTTGGAGAGCTGAAGGACTCTGCTGCAGATGCTGCTAAAAGAGCTATGGGTTTCTTCACGGGCACGAGAGACGAAACAAAGGTTGATTTCGACTTGCAAATCTTGTTCTGTTTATTTAATAACTTGTTTACTATTTATTGTTGTTGTAGCGTTAAGTTGCGTGTTTAATTGTGGTGCATGAAAAGGTGAGTGGAACGCCTGAGGATGCTAGGCGGAGAATGGAAGAGGTGAGGGTGCAGGATAAGGAGTATGGAACGGGGCATGGTGGAGAGAAGTTGGTGATCAAACTTGAAGAGTCGCGGCCAGGAGCGGTGGCGGATGCGATGAAAGCGGCGGAGAGGGCCTTGGGCGGCGAGATGGAGGAAGAAGGAATCCTTCATGTGGAGCGTCGTAGAGAGAAGATGTGAACCATATATAATACAAACACAATAATAATGTTGTCATCTAATACAAATTTGATTAGTGTAGTAAGATATGTGTTTTGTAATACATGTTTGTACCTTGTTTAACTTTCATTCCATTAGTAACTCTTCTCATCTTCTATGTAGAATATACTCTCCTTGGTTTTGAGAATGAGTATGAAAACTGTTATGGGTCCCCAACTTGTGTCTATCGGTGAACGTTTGTTAATTTGGTTATAAATAAATAAAACTAAGAGGGGTGATATTTTGAAATCTTCTGTAATGTTTTATTAATATAATAATCATTAAAAGATTTAATGAAAATAAAGAAGTTTAAATTATTATTACTATAATATAAAATATAGTTGTTTTATTAATATAATAATTATTAAAAGATTTAATGTAAAATAAAAAAATAAAAATTATTATTATAATATAATCATTAAAAGATTTAATGAAAATAAAAGAAGTGAAATTTATTATAATATAAAATACAGTTATTTTATTAAATCATTATTAAAAATTTAATGAAAAAAACAAGTTAAAATTATTGCTATAATCTAAAATATAGTTATTTATTAATATAATAATCATTAAAATATTAAATAAAAAATTATTATAATATAAAAAATCTACTGTGCGCAATACTTTTACTCGTTTATTTTGATTAGGGAGAAAATATGATGATTATAGTTTTGTAATTTTTGTCTTTACTTCCTTAAAAAGGACAGAGTTCATAACATCACATTGCTCAGGAATGTGAATATGATTTTTATTCGTGGTTGTCGAGTCATGTATCATCAAAGACACTTGTCGCCCATAAAGCCTTTTCCAATGTAGTTTGGTTTCGGCTACAGTATTTTGAAGCATAAAAAGTCTTGCCTTTTACATTTAAATAAAAAGTTTAGATCAGACATATCATTAATGTAAAAGTCATTTTTTTAAATAGTAGTGCATTCCTCACGAGCTTTCCCATGTACGAGTGTGGTTTTATCTTCAGAGTCAACAATGAATCATTCTTTTGATGACATCGATCGTTAAGAATGAATAAGACATCTATGGTAATCGATAAAAGTATTAAAAGGTATTACTATTATGAATCATAATTCATTATTGAGAAAGAATGAATAAAGAATGATTCATTGAAGACATCGATAGTTAAGTAAATATGGTAATAGATCAAAGTAATAAAAAGTATATTATGAAAATACAAAATTGAAAGAAGATCGGGGATATTGTAATATTGTCGGTGCGGTGAGGATTGAGGATTTAAGAATATTGACATTGAGAGAAGACGACAAGAACATAATCAAGAAGAAAGTGATTATAATAAAGTAACGTTTTGTTTTATTCTATTTTACTGTATTTTACTTTAATTTAAACTTTTATTTATTTGTATAACAAAGTAATTATAATCAACACTATTGAATTTTTTTTTACCATTTTTACAAATTTTTGTTTTATTTTGTAATACATTAAATTTATGTTTCTGTTTTTTTGGCACATTTACTTTCCATCAATAGTTTTTTACTATTTTAGTAATTTATTTTAAATCATATTAAAAATAAAAATTAAATATTTCAAGTGATATTAAAAATAAAAATTGAATACGAATTATCTCTAATTTAAATATATAATATTAAAATAAATAACCGTGATATTTAAATAATTCATTGGACAACTTACAAAATTATATTTAATTAAATCCAACAACAAATATTTATCCTATATTTATCACTTTTATCCTAACACATTAAATATTCCATGATCTAATACATTTAGTTAGTGATTTGAAGTAATACCTGACTTTACATATATGTACTGATTTAAAGTATAATATGTGACTTTACATATATTTTAGTTAATTAAATCCTTTGTGATTATGGTTTAATTATTTTTATTGATATCACCTTTACTACGGAATATTTTGTATGACATTAAAGCATATTGTGTGTTCTAACCTAACATGACAACAATTAATAGATATATGTACAAATTACACACACTTTTTGATTTTTTATAATGTGAGAACTTTAATCTAAATTATATAACCCCACACACACACACACACGTGTGTATATATATTGGTCAAAATTAAAACTTATTTAATAGCTTTAATTCTACATTATTCTTTCACTTTGTTACCTTTCTTTTCCTCCTCTTTTCACCCTATTTTTTCCTCCTTTACCCTCCGCTAAACAATGCAAAATGGTGACAAATGAGAACAATTTAAATTTGTTTATTATTAACACGTTTTTTTTTATTTAACGGATATTTGTTAGGAAGAAAAAGTTAAGAAATAAAAGAAGGTTAAAATTTACTAATCTCTTTATAATTATGTCAATCAAATTTAGTTTTTCAAAACAATATTTTTTAAAAATTGGAAAAAAAATTTGACTATTTATTCAGAGTTTTTTTTTCTTTTTTAAGTAGCAACTTCAACCGTTTTATTTTCATTCAACTTTGGAATTCTGTGCCAATATTATTAATTTGTTTTATTATCCTCTACTAATATGAAACAAAAGCACGGTATAGAAAAAATTATTTTTTTTAGTTTGCTGTGATGACAATTAAATATGTAATTACGAGGATCGATAATTTAATTGAAAAAGTTTAAATTGATTGGATACGTGTTTGGATTTTTATCCATTTTAAAATATTAAGGCTTTAAAATAGTAAGGATGAAAGTTAAGGATTTTATATTTAATTCTTTTTTTACATTATATGTATACAATATTTTTTATATTTTACCCTTTTTTATTTTTTGTTACTTTTTTCATTTTTTTACATTTTCTTAAATTTTTTTAACCTATTTGTAAATATAATTTATTTTAATATTTTTCTAAATATTTTAAATGGATAACAAGACATCTTTAGTAATATCATCCCAATTGAGATCTTATCCTACATTTTGGTAGACCTCACTGTATAATTTTTAAAATCTTATATAATTATTGCTTTAATGGTAAATCTCAATTCAATGTCATGTATGATTTTTGTGGGTTTCTTTTATAATTAATATTTTTCAAAATATGTTTTAGAATTATTAATTAATTATATTTTATATTATATTACTAAATAATAATATAGTAAAAAAATGAAAAATTTTAAAATTTCCAATCATTAATTATGATAATAATTATCGATAGTGAAAAGAATCAATAATATGTCATTTTTTAATTTATAATCCATATTATATGTCCATTTTTTAATATCAATTGCCAATCAATATATATAAACTTTTACCTATTTTGTATTTTACATTGATAGTATCTACGTTAATTTAATAATCGATATAAAAGACAAAAAATAATCAATGTGAAAAAAATATTTTCTAATAATAATTTGTTAATAATTTTAATATTATTAAAATGAATAAAATATTTAACTCAATCGTAAAAATAATTTAATAAAATAAAATTAATATATGTTATAATATCAAACTTTTAACATTTTAAGATTTCACAATAAAACTTAAAAGCCAACCTCCATTCTGACCATCAAGACTTGCACCGTCTGGTGAAGCAGACCATCAATTCAATGCCCACCTTTTGTACCGTTTGGTGGAGAGAGAGAGAATCACGTGCCTGCTGTTCACATAGTTTGATGGAACGTGAATCAGAGTCTTATATGGTTTTAATATTTCCTTGCTTATTTCCCTAGTACATCTGTTGAAAAGATTGTTGTTTTTATCACTGTAAGACTAAACAATTAATAAATTTACATTCAAAATGTAGTTTTCATTAACACCACCGTCAAATCGAATTACTTAATCTTACGATGATAAAATGTACAGTGGGTCTTGTTTTGTTCCGCAAAAGTCGAGGGGCAACTGATCGGTTACAGTCAGGTTATAAATTTTGACACGTTCCGATAAAAAGTTAGGTTGATGAGCTGATTTATTATAATTAAAAAAATAATAATTTATTTTTTAAAATAAAAATGTTAATAAATTTAATAATAAAATTATTATTTATTTATCAATAATTCAATACATATATATTATCTCAATTTAATAATATAAATCAATATATTATTTTAAGAAATTATAATTTAGAACAATAATAAAATTTACATAATAATAAATAATAATAAATATATATATATAAATAATATTAAAATTTATAAAATTTAAATTTTTATATTTTTATATTAAAAAATTGTAAATACTTTTATATTTTTTTTATTTGATAAAACTTCACATTATTTTTGGTTGAGTAATTTTTATACCTTTAATTCAAGTCATAAGGATAAAAATAATCAATACTTAAGAAGAACATGAGAGAGAAAATTGTGTTTAAGTAAGTAAGTAAGTAAGTAAGGAGAATATTTTATGTGAGAGTGAAACTTTTTTAATTCTCTTTTTAAAATATTTAACTTTATATATTATCTTTATAATTAACTTTATTACAATAAAAAATTATTTTTTTATTAATTAGGCGGTCAAGCGTCTCGACCCACCCCATCCCGCGAGTTGGCCCGACGGGTTGGCAGATTTTACGGGATCGGTCAAAGCGGGTTAATGGGTCGAAAACATCAACTCGTCCGCCATATTATAGCGGATTGCAGGGCAGTCCGCAGTACTCGATCCGTTTTGCTATTCCTACTTAATCTAGTATGTCTTTATTCGTCAAATAAAATAAATTTATCGATTTAATTTGGTTTATATTTTAAAATGAGTAAATTTTTTTATTTATGATCTTATTAAATCAATAAGCTAGCTAATCATTCTTTGTATAATTAAAAAGTATTTATAAAATTTTTTAAAGTTTATTTAAAAAAAATATTTCATTTTTTTATTTAAAATTAATTCACAAAATAAATTTATAAAATATTATTATATACAAAATTTATCATATAAAAAATTATAGTAAAAAATCATATAATATTCACTTTTTTTATACATGTTAATTAATAACAAGAGATAAATAAATAATATTAAATAATTAAATTTTATATAATATAAAATTATAAAATATTGAATATTGATTTAAGTATATTTATTGTAATCATATAATAAATTACAAATACATAAGTGAGTTTGTATATTTTGTGGAATGAAATATTTAAAATGTCATAAAATAATAATAATTTATTATTTAAATTTCAATTTTGATTAACAATTAGTTAAAATCATATAATATTAAAAAATTATAGTAATTATTATAGTAATTTATATACTAAAAGTCAAATATATTCAAATAAAAATATTAGATAACACATTTTTTATTTTTTTATGTTAAATATTAGTTTAGCATTAGTAGTTGTTTATAATAATTTGTTTTAAATCAGCATTCGTGATTAATATACATATATCTCGGTATACTTTAAAATTTTATTACTTTAACAAACTAATTTTATTATTCAAGTAATTTTCACATTATTGTACTGTAATTTGAAAATAAATTATATTAAAGAGTTCATTGTCTTAACTTAGTGTTCCGTGAAATTCATTCATTTATATATATATATATATATATATATATATATATATATATATATATATATATATATATATATATATTTTTCACAACTTATACATTTACATTTCTTTACCCCTTTAACTTGATTAAAATTTTCAAAATAATTATACATTCATATATAATTTAGTTTTTTTAAATAATTTTATATTTTCTCGAAGGCAAATTTAAAAACATTTAGATTCTTATATTTCTGTCTTAAATATACTAAGAATTATTGAAATTGATCATTTTATTTCATTTTTTTATATTTTTAATAAATATATAATTTGTATATGTTTAAAGATAGGATAAATTTATTTTATAATTTATTAAAAAGTAGGAAGTATCAAACATATTTATAAATTTGTATTTATCTATAATGATAAATTCAAGAAACGTGGGTCATGACTCTTCTTACCAAAAATTATTATATATATATATATATATATATATATATATATATATAATAATTGTTTTATAAATATAATTTATTTTTTATTTATTTATAATAAATATTATATTTATTATTTTACACTTCATTCACACTTTTATTATCTTTATATTTTTATTTTTTTCCTCTCTTAAATTCTTACTTTTCTACTTTAACTTTTTTTTTATCCAATTTATCTTTTCACATTTCTATATAATTTTTTTATTATTCGTGTCCTTTTATAGTTTTATCTTAAAACATAAAATTTACAAAAAAAATTATTAGTTTCAAAATTTTCCCTTTTACAGTTTCATATTTATAACATACCAATTGTAAATTTTTTTATTCATTTTAAAGAAATAAGACAATAAGTTAAAAAAAATAAAAAAATCCAAATAAAGCTCTTCAATGATACATTTTAAAATAAAAATTACTCAAATATGATACTTATCAACTTATTTACTTAAATAAACTTTTTTATTATTTATTTATAGTTTTTTTTCTCGCTCTTCATAATTTTTTCTATTTTTTTCTCTTTCCTAGTTTATTTCTTATTTTTCTCTTTTCTATATCGCATCTTTTTAAATAAATTAAAAAAATATAAACTAATTATTTAAAATTATAATGAAAATAAATATTTACAATTTAAATTTATTTTATTATAATAAATAATTACTCATTTAATTCACAAATATTAAATATTAATGAGTTCAATGTAATTTTTTTATTTAGTAATTTAATTTAATTATAATTAGATTAAGTAATGATAATTAATAATAATAAAAAATATTTAAAATAAATATTAAATAATCAAATTAGATCATTTTTAAAAATATTTATTAAAAAATTTACTTTAAAATAAATATTTAATTTTTTTCTTTAATAATTATATTATAACAAAAATATTTGTAATATCTCAAAATTTATCATATAATATTTTTAAAATATAATAAATTAAATTATAGTATTTATAAATAATTTAAATATTTTTAATTAAAAGAATAAGATAGAGTGAAAAAAAAACAATAAAAATAAGTAAAGAGAAAAAAAGAAAAAAAACTATATTATATCAAATAAATTTATTTATTGTTATTAAATTTTGTACATAATAATAAATAAATTTAAATTTATAGTTTTTTTTTAATATATTATTAATAAAATTGATTATAAAATATCATACAATATATGATATTAAGAATGGAGTGATATATAACTCAATCTTAATAACGTAAATATATACTTAAAATATATATATATATATATATATATATATATATATATATATATATATATATATATATATATATATATTACACACACGTAACATTTCATGATAATTGTATTCCATAAAACTTAAGTCTCTATGAAGACTTGCACCGTTTGGCGAAGCAGACCGTCAATGCCCACGTTTTGTTCCGTTTGGTGAAGGAGAGTATCACATGTGTGCGGTACACATAGTTTGGTGAACGTGAATCGGAGTCTTAAATGTGCTTCTGCTTTTACAACATTGGCGTTTGGTTGAGGGACAAAATATGGAAGAGACCGTACACAATGGATCATAATGAAGGAGATGGATTGGGATATTATTTTTTTGGTGTTATTAATAAAGTTTGATGCAATCCAAACATAAATATATCCACATCTGACAATAAAAATCATACTAAAAAACTCATGAGCAAGTAATTTGGCGATGTAATTTTAAATATACAATATAAAAATATAAAATGATGAGAGATGAATATTCGTATTGTACCTTTAAGTTTATCGACAATATTATACACTACATCCTATATTCATGCATCTTTGCGGTAACTTTCAATCCAAATAATAGGAACCACGTATCAAAGTTAGGCTATGCCAGTGAACAAAACCAAAAGGCAAAAGGATAAAAATAAAAAAACTTATGAACAATGTTATGTCATTCAATGGAACTATACTTTAGATCTTAGGCTAGTAAGAAGTGAAACTTAGCTCTCTAAAATACTTTTGTTACTTACTGTCTTTACTTCTATGGTTACATCTCAGTCAATATTCTTTTAGTTCCGATAAAGATATAATTAATTAATATACTCCAATAATAGTGTAATAAATTCTAAGACTAAACATGTTTCTTTTTATCCATAAAATTTGAACAAGAGATTTATAACGATTCATGCACCATTTTAATCAATTGGGTTATACTCTTTTAACTTAATATTAAACATAAATTTAATAGAGACAAATTGATAAAACATAGTTAAATATCATAACAAGATTAATATCATAGATTATATTAATTGTCCTTTAAATATTTTTAATTCTAGAAAAAGAAAAAATAAAAATAAAAATTTTATTCCACAATTTCTCTTATTTTCTAAATTTTTAAATCAATTCAAATAAAAAACCATTTGTTTTTTTTTTCAAATAAATGCAATGTACAAAAATATATTCACATATCACAAATAAAAAAAAAAATTACATAGTAAACTAGTGAAGTATGCACTTATACTTTCTCAATCTCTTAATTTTAGGTTTATTTGCATACCTTTCAATTGGACATGTTAAACTTTACACGTTACTTTCTTTCACATCACGCATGAAGTTAGAAAATATTTTCTTTCTCAATCATAAAATTTTCTTTAATCTTGATATATATAAAACATATTTTAATTATTTATCTCTTTCAATAAACTCTCTTTTATATTTACTTCTAAGTTACGTTTTAATATTTTAGAAAATATTAATAATTAAAATAATGTTGTATCATATTTATAGTATTGATTATAGAATAAAATGATTTACTATGAAGTTTATAGATAAATATAATTTATAGGTTTGAAAGTAAATATTTAGTAAAAACTTATATAATAAGACAAAGCCTTAATATGAATACAATCCACGTCCATTCATAAAAATAAAAATAAAATGTTGATGATTAAAATACTTTCTCCTATCAATTATTAAAAGTGGCATAATTAGAAAGTTTGGAATTGCACCCAACATGCTGTTCCAGTTTGGCATGGCGGGGAGGGAAGTATCAACTACTATAAATGATATAGTTTCATTTTCGGTTTTAATGTTATGTGTGGTGTGGCTACTCTTGTATTGTGTAGTTTTGTTATGAGTAGTTTTGGTGAAGAACTTAAGACACTGCCAAAACGTGAAATCCATCTCCTTCAATGTTTTAACCTTTTGGTTTCTCAAAGTCATTGCATTGGCACCAATGTCCACCAAAGGTTTCCTCATCTATCTCGTATCCTCCTTCTCTGTCGCGCTTCTCTCTGCGCTGTTCCTCACCGGAACCTACGACGTCAAACATTATGCGTCATTGTCTCCTCCCTCTCCCATTTATGGATCCGAAAACGATAAAGTTTGGCCCGTATGTCACACCTTCATCTTTTCTCTAACACAATATCGTTCTGAAAAAAAAGACTAATGCTTTTTCTGTTGGGGGTGTAGGAATTGAAGGTGGGTTGGAGAGTTGCGTTGGCCACAGTTATTGGGTTTCTGGGATCTGCTTTTGGAACCGTTGGAGGGGTAGGTGGGGGAGGCATTTTCGTTCCCATGCTCACTCTCATTGTCGGTTTTGATACCAAGTCTGCTGCTGCTCTTTCTAAATGTAGTCACTTTTCTCTCTCTCGTTTTATTCTTTCACGTTGTGACTTGTGAGTTGTAACTTGTGATCACAGACTTAGCATTTTTGCTTTTTGTTTTGTGATCAAGTTTGGTGTTGTTGACTTGTTTTCAGGTATGATAATGGGGGCGTCATCAGCTTCCGTTTCGTATAACCTGAGACTACCTCATCCAACCAAAGAAGTGCCTATAATAGACTATAATCTGGGACTTCTTTTCCAGCCCATGCTCATGCTTGGTATAACTGTTGGTGTAGCGCTCAGTGTTGTCTTTCCCTACTGGCTCATCACTGTCCTCATCATCATTCTCTTCCTTGGTCTCTGTCTCTCTCATGTCGTTTCTTTTAGCAGAAAAGTTTACTTGTTAAGCAAACCATGCTTTGAATGAATCAGTTCTTAGTTGGTCTCTGCTGAAAAATGGTGGAATGAGTTCTTTTAATTTTTAACAGGTACCTCTTCGAGGTCTTTCTATAAGGGAACTCAGATGTGGAGGGAAGAGACTCTTCTCAAGGTAAAGTTTTACCACTTGAGATTGCGAGTGTTCAACAGAATCATTTAACAGAAGCAAACTCATTAGCTCTGTCTCCCGATGTTTGTGTTTGCTGATTGCAGAAAGAAATGGCCAGGCAAAAAACTACTTTTGTTAATTCTCGTGGCGAACGTAAGACAAGATTGTATACTTTAATTTCCACTTTCATTGGAATTAAGTAGGAGCTGTTTTTTTACTGTGTAGTAATTCAACCATTTTCAAATCAATCAGTAGATAAAATTTATAAAATTTTGAAATAAGAATAGTTTTTCTGTCAAGGGTGCCCTGTCTATATAGTTTCTAAAAATGATTTAATTTCGTTGATTGTGTTGGGTGTAATAGTTACAATATTTCATCAATCATGCAGTTCTAATTGACATAGAATATGAGCAGTTGATTCCTAACCAAGAGAAGTCATCTATGGTATGCAAAGTTATCATCGTTTTCACTGAGTCATAGTAGGCGATGAGGACAAACCTGACTTTTGTTTTGTTTTCTCCCTTGAACACCTCAGCAAATTGTTTGTTTCAATCTCAAGTGGAAAATGATTTTGATACTAATGGCCGTGTGGGTTTCTTTCCTACTACTTCAAATCATCAAGGCAAGCCCCCTTCTCTCCCATTCACATCACAAATCTGTTCACTTATTATTGCTTTGTTTTAAGTTTATTTGTTGTTGTTCTGCAGAATAGTGTGGAGGTCTGCAGTCAATGGTATTGGGTGCTATTCTGCTTACAGGTACGATGGTAACATCAATTACACGAGCGCAACTTGTTCCTTATTAAGCAGTGAGGTCAAATCAAACTTATTGACATGGACCTTTCTTCTTTCTGTTTCAGTTTCCCATTGCACTTTCGGTCTTTGGCTACGAAGCAGTAAAGTTGTACAAGGATCACAAAGAGAGAATGAACACAGGAAACCTGGAATTCATATGTGAGGCATCAATTGAATGGACTGCTCTGCACATTTTATTTTGTGCACTATGTGGCCTTTTAGGAGGAACTGTTGGAGGCCTACTTGGCTCTGGAGGTGGATTCATTTTGGGTCCTCTTCTCATCGAGATCGGTGTCATTCCCCAGGTAAGTTTGGTATGCACGAGAAAGTTTGGTTTGGCATTAATGTTGAAGCAACTTAACTTTTAAGGACGTGTTTTTGTTCAAATGACAGGTTGCTAGTGCAACAGCAACATTTGTGATGATGTTTTCGTCATCTTTGTCTGTAGTGGAATTCTACCTTCTCAAGAGGTTCCCCATTCCATATGGTAATTTTTATCATCTTTGAAGCTTACATCTCTTTGCAATTTGTCTTGCCTTTAAATTCTCTCTCCCAGCCATTTAAGAATTAAAGTGACAAGAACATGTTGAAACAAACAGGTTAAAGATGGCTACATATTATGGTCCACCATCCACCATATTATCATATTTGAACATAACCGTCCATTTTCCACTTAGCTTCTTTTTTCACTTAAGGCTTTAGTGCATGAACAATTTAAAAATAATAAACAGAAGAGATAGTGATTTGATATGCTATATGCTTAATGTTGTTGTCATATTTCTTTTGCAGCCTTATATCTCACCACAGTGTCTGTTCTGGCCGGCTTTTGGGGACAGTATTTTGTAAGGAAATTGATGGGAATTCTTGAAAGAGCCTCAATCATTGTATTCATCCTCTCAGGGATAATTTTTGTCAGCGCTCTCACCATGGGTAAAGCAAATCCAATCCAAAGCCAATTGCTGATTAATGTATATGGTTTCTGCACCAAAGTTCTACTGTAATAATTGCTACCCTTTTCCTTTCAGGTGTGGTTGGCATTGACCAGAGCATTAAAATGATCCAAGACCATGAGTTCATGGGTTTTTTAGACTTCTGCAGCAGTCAATGATTCATGTAGTGTGCAGTAGGTGTCCAAAAAAGGCGACTTTGTATAGAGTTTATGAAAAATGCTTGCAAATTCAGGGCAGGACAATAGCTACGAATGAATGTTGGTCAATGTCTAGTTCACCGACGAGAAGGTCCTTCCTCTTCAAGTATCAAATAACCCTAGCTTGCGCTCCCTCGTGTGAAACACTGTTTGTAGTTGAATGTTAGTTATTGGCTAACACTTACTAAGCAGTGCAACACTTGTTTCTTTAAGTTTGTGTTGAGTCTCCCTTCAGTTCTAGAGTGAGCATGAAAAAGCTTGTATATTAGGGTAGGACAACAACGTTCAGAAATGTTGGTCAATGCTTAGTTGACCTTTCCTCCTTGTAATAAACTGGGCTTCATTCTCCACTTGGAGAAAATCAGTTTGTAGTTGACCGTATTATTTATTTGATTTTGATATTAATTTTATCATTATTTGGTCTCAACTGAGAGTGCTGGAGAGAGCGTAAGAGAAAGAGAGGATTTCTCATTATTGTAAAAAAAAAAATTAAAAAGGGTAAAAACTTACAGAATATAAAAAAAAATGGTTTATATATACATGATTTAAGAGAAAATTGTTATTTATAATATTATAGCTGTATAGTAACAAACTATGGAAAAATAATGAAAGAATATATATATATATATATATATATATATATATATATATATATATATATATATATATATATATATATATATATATATATATATATATATATATATATATATATATGATATCTCTATCACCCTCCCTCAACCTCCCTCAAGGTAAGTATGGTATGGATGTTGTGTTTGTTTAATTTAGATACAATAGATTTAAATATAGATGGATGAAGAGATTTTGTAAAAATGTCAGCAATTTGATTATTGGAAGGAACGTGACAAAGTTTGATAAGATCTTGAATAATCTTCTGTCTTGTAACATGACAATCAATCTCATATGTTTGGTACGTTTATGAAATGAAAGGTACTTGACAATGTGGATAGCAAAATTATTATCATAGAAAACAAAATAAGGTGTGAAAATAGGGACATGAAGATCTTGAAACAAGTAATTGAGTCATTGTATCTCACAGGTTAGGGAAGCAAAAGATCTATATTCAACTTCAGAGGATGACCTTGACACAGTTGTTTGCTTCTTTGACTTCCATGCAGTAAGAGCAGTACCAATAAAGATACATATCTTCTTGTAGTAGCACAAGTGGCCCAGTCAGAATCAAGATATGTGTGCACTTCTGAAGAATTGTCAGCAACATATAATAAGCCATTTCCTGGAGCATTTTTCAAATACTTTATAGTTCTCATAGCCTGTTGTAGATGAGGTTGTCTTGGAGAAGAAACAAACTGGCTTAATTGTTGTACAACAAAGACAATGGCCGGCCTAGTATTAGTGAGATATATCAATCTCTTAATTAAACAACGATATGAAGAAGGATCTGTGAGTAGCTCTCCAGTATCAGCATGTAAGTGAAATGCAGGATCCGAGGGTGTTGATGATTTGCAACCAAGCATACCAGCTTTAGAAATTAATTCCAAGCAATATTTGCGCTGATTCAAGCATAAACTTGCTTTTGACCGAGAGATTTCAAACCTAAGAAAGTATTTTAGAGGTCCAAGATTTTTAATGCAGAACTTGGTATGAAGATGGTGTTTAACAAAATCAATTTCAGATAAATCATTGCCTGAGAGAAGGATATCATTAACATAAACTAGAATGATGGTAATCCTTGGCAGAGAATGTTTCACAAAAAAGTGAATGATCTGCAGTACTTTGTTTACACCCAAGAGAAAGGAGTTCAAAAGTGAGCTTGTGATTCTAGTTACGACTTGCTTGCTTGAGGCCGTAAAGAGACTTCTGAAGTTTACAGACCAGATAATTGAGGTAAAGTAAGATCGGGTGGAGGCTTCATGTAAATATCTTCTGACAAGTCACCATGAAGAAAAGTGTTATCCACATCTTATTGATGAAGAAACCAGTTATGGGCACTAGCGAAAGCAAGAACAAGGCACACAGTAATGAAGTTTACTACTGGTGAGAAATTTTCATAGTAATCAACTCTTTAGGTTTGAATGATGCCTTTTGCCACTAAACGGACTTTATATCTATCAATAGATTCATCTACTTTATGTTTGATCCTATAAACCCAACGACAGCCAATAGGTTTTTTACCATGAGGAAGAGAAACCAAGGTCCAAGTGTTGTTTCCGTGCAGAGCTTGGAGTTTAGAATTCATAGCTTGTTGCCAACATTCAAACTTGTTAGCTTCCTTGAAAGAGAAAGGTTCAACTTGTGCAGAAATATTGTTACAAAAAGAAGTGTAGTTAGGAGAACATTTATTATATGAAAGAAACAAGTAAATATGATAAAGAGTAAAGAAAGAATCAGGGACGACAGTAGCAGTACCACAATAATAGTGATCTAAATATCTATGTCTATTTTTAACTTTAAGGGAAACCCTTTGACCAGCAATAAAAACATGAGTATTATTAGGAATAATAGTATTATTTATTGTGCAATCTGTGGTATGAGAAACTGGTACAGAAGAAGGAAAATAAAAAAGGGTTACATTAGAAAATTTATCATTTGTAATAGTGTCAGGCAGTGGCAAAGTTGAAGCATATGAAAAAACACATTTTCATGAAAAATCACGTGTCTTGAAACTAAAATGGATCTGGAATGCACGTCGTACAACACAAAACCTTTAATGCCAATTTTATATCTAAGAAATATGCATTTTGAGCAACATGAATCAAGCTTACTGCGTCCTGGGACAATAGAACTAACATATGCTAAACAACCAAAGACTTTGAGATTGGAAAGTTCTGGTTTAACAGAGTGAATCATTTCATAAGGTGATTTGTTTTTTAGAAAGGGTGTGGGTAGTCTGTTAATAATATGAATATCAATTTTTAAAGGGTAAGACCAAAAGAGATTTGAAATTTTGGCTTGAAAAAGGAGAGATTTGCATACATTGAGAAGGTGTTGATGTTTCCTCTCAATAATGTCATTTTGTTGAGGGGTAGTAACACATGATGTTTCATGAAGAATGCCTTTACCATTATAAAAAGCATTAAGAAAGAATTCTTTGTCATTGTGTAATCTGAGGCGTTTAAGAGTGCATGCAAATTGGTTTTCTGTTAAAAGAATGAAGTGCGGAAGCATGATTTTAACATCACTTTTTGTGTTTTAGAAGCAAAATCCAAGTAAAACGATTGTAATAATCTACAATGGTTAGAAAGTATCGATATCCATTTATAGATGTAGTAGAAATGGGACCCCAAATATCAACATGAATAAGTTAAAAAAAAGTTGTTTTAGTATGACTAGTGGGAAAAGTGAGATGTTTTTGTTTAGCAAAAGCACATGCATCACAAGCATTAACATGAGCAAAGAAAATATCAGAATATTGAGAAGCTATAAGGTGAAAAGTTTTTATTTAATGGATGACCAAGTTTCATATGCCACAGATTATAAGATAAAACAGTATTCGTTAAAGCAGAATGTAAAGAAGAGGAATTTGTGGTAATCATGTTTTTAATGCTGTAGAGATGAAAAAGACTTTTATATTTCTTAGCTACTTGTTAGTGGGAAAAATCGATATATGGATCGAAAAGCGGATGGAAGGAAATCAAGGATCGTATGTTAGTTAAAAAATTGATAAATCGAAAAGATGATTGGAAGACATTCGATAACCATGTATTAGTATGAAAACATCGATTGAGAATTGAAATCGAGAATTGGAATCGAGAATTGAAAGAAGAATTGAAAGAAGAGGATTCGATGACTATTGCTGAAGAAAATCGAGAATTGGAATCGAGAATCGGAATCAAGAATTGAAAGAAAACAAGAAATTCAATGATCATGGGGAAGTAAAAATCAATGAAAGGTATTGAGTATGAAGTTAAATGGAAAGCCAGAAATAGTTTTAAATACTCGATTGGTTATCACGCACATGGAACGTGGGAAACAATTTTCTAAATCGTGGCTAAGATAAAAATCGAGGGATAGTTAACGTTCGTGCACATGGAACGTGGTAGCAGTTTTTAAACTGCTCTTAGGAGGTTACCTGAAAGACACTCTATAAATAGAGCGAAGTTTGAAGGAAAACGGGAAATTGGCAGAGACAATAGAAACACAAGTGAAAAGTCTACCGAAGAAATGACGAATCATGAAGTTTCTGACAATCTGGATTTTCATTTTCATTGATTGTCTTTACCGCTTTCTTTACTTTTCCTAGTAATTTACTTTCATGCAATTTACGTTTGTTCAGTCACTTACATTTATCAACTTTAAGATTCTGCCCTTTCAATTCCTTGTCATTTACCTTTAAGCAAGTTAAGATTCTGCGTTTAAGTTCTTCACCATTTACACTTCTGCAATTTCAATTTCCTGCCATTTATACTTTTTCAATTTCAATTCCTTGTTATTTACCTTTATGCAAGTTAAGATTCTGCATTTAGGTTCCTCGCTATTTACACTTCTGCAATTTCGATTTCCTGCTATTTACATTTTTACAATTTCAATTCATTGTCATTTACACTTAATGCAATTTTAAGGTTCCGCATTTATATTTCTCTGCAATTTAATATTTTGCTTTGCTTTTCGTCTCGATACTTTTTTACTGCTTTCTTTACTTCAAGTTTCTTAACAAAAAAAATACTAAAAATAGTATTTTCGATTTCAATATGCATGCTTTATCACACTTCCCATGTTTTTAATATACGTGTATGCTTTATCTTTCATTCGGCTCAATACTGTGACGTTTTCGATTTTCATACATATTTTGATTGAAAACTGTTTGCTAGCCTAAATAAAAAGAATCTACGTGGTTGAAATTTGGTTAGAACCTAAGTCTCTGAGAAATCGAAATCGACCAAACTTTCACCAGAAACACTACTCATCATCAGGGAGGTGGTTTTTTGCACAATGTAACAACTGTCTTGATAAAAAATAACAGAACAATTGTTAGAGGTGAG